TGTTAGGAAAGATTTATACCTTTGTTAATCCTTGCAACCTCAAAGCCCAAATGTTAGATTACCAAGATTTTTTAATTTTGAAACTCTGATGAAGCATCAATGTGATATTATTAATTTCATTAATATTATTTTTTATTAATATGATATTATCGACATACACTAGTAAAATAGTGAGATTATGATAAATAATTTTTAAAAATGAAAAATAATCAACATATGTTTGTTTAAAATCACGTGAAATCAAAAAAGAAGATAATTTTGCATACCATTGACGATTGACTTGTTTAAGACCATAGAGAAATTTATGTAATTTACATACTTGACATTTCTTCTCATATTTCATATTTGGAGGAGCTGCATATAAACCTCTTCATTTAAACTACCATGTAAGAAAGCATTATTGACATGTAATTGCTTAAAATATAAATCCTTTATAGTAGCAAGAGATAAAACAAATAGAACAGTGGTTAATTTGACAGTAGGTAAAAAAAGTATCTAAGAAATTAAAGCCTTTCAATTGAGTATAGTCTTTGGCTACAAGTCTAGCCTTATACTTATCTACATATCCATTAGATTTATATTTAACCTTGTAAACCCATTTATTTATAGTCTATGGTTGTCTTCTTTTCTGGTAGATTAGTAATTGTTCAAGTTTTGTTTTGTTCAAGAGCTGCAACTTCCTCTTGCATGGCTTTTCTCCAATTATTGTGTTTGACAGCTTCTTCCTAACTTTTAGGCTCAAAATTGGCATCTAGAGAGAGAATTTGTTTTTCCTAAAAAAAAAGGAGAAAGTCTAACAAAAGATATAAAAGATTGAATATGATACTTCACTTTATGAGAGGTCTTTGTCAAGGGAACATGGTAATCTTTTAAGTAGGTGGGGGTATCTAATTCTATTAGAATGTTTTGGAGAATTATGATTAATATCAAAATTATTTTCAGAGATAGAATTAGTTTCATCAGAAATATTTGTAAAAGCATCGTCATCAATGTTAACATGTTGATTATGAGAAACATCTTTATCAAAATCAATATGTTGAATGTTAGGAAGAGATAGAGAAATTTGTATGACATCTTCGTTAGTAATGGAGTCAACAATATTAGGAAAAGAATTCTTATAAAAATGACATTTATGAAAATTTTAATGTCATGCATCTCAAGATCATAAATAACATATCCTTTAGTGTTTGATTGAAAATCAAGAAAAATACCAACCTTTGCATGTGGGTCTAATTTTGATTTGTTAGTAGCAATAGTACTAATGTAACAATCATCCAAAGACTCTTACATTACCAAGGTCACAATCTTTATTGTATAATTTTTCAAGGAGAGACATTTCCAATAAAATATGTAAGCATATAATTTGTCAAACAAACAACATAATTTATAGCATATGTTCAAAGAGAAGAAACTTTAGATTGAAAAGCAAGGCTCTAATAATATTCAAAGGTGTTAATGTTTTCTTTCAACAATATCATTTTGTTCAAGTGTTCGTACGTAATTTGTTTTGATGTGAAAATCCTTTAGAATCAAAATACTTCTTCATATCAAAACCACATCCATTATTAGTTCTAATGATTTAACAGTAGTGGAAAACTGATTTTTTTTACATGTACATATGCTATAAAATTAACAAGATGAATACATGTTTCAGACTTACTTTGCATTAGATAAATCCATGTATGCCAGAAGTAATCATCAACAATAGTTAAACAATATCTATGACCATGCAAAGAAGGGATAGAGCAAGGTCCCCTGATACTAGCATAAAAAAGATAAAAAATGTTACAAGCATGAGAAACACTGAGGGAAATGTAGTTTTTTTTTTTAGCAAAGTGACGAGCATTGAAGTTATCAGTTTTGAAATGGTCTATATAAGAATGATTTTGTTTTAAAATAGCAAGTTTGTCATCAGAAAAATTACCTAACCTATTATGCTAGAGATTAGTGTTGTCAATTTTACATATTTGAATGTTATTATTAACATTGATAAAGTGATTTGAAGCTTTAAAACATATTGACCAACATTCATTTCAATTGTATCAATCATCTCTTTTGTTTTCTTATCTTAAATCATGCAAACATTATTAACAAAAACAATTTTAATGTCGAGTGAAAAGACTAATTTTGAAATGAATATCATATTATAAGCAAATTTTGGAATAAATAAAACATCTTTTAGCAAGATTTATTAATTTTAACAATTCCTTTATGAGTAGCCTTAATCTTTGTTTCATTAGGCAAAGTTAACAACAACATAATCAATCTTTTTATAAGAATAAAAATTATTAAGATTGGAAGTAACGTGATGAATTGCTCCTAAATCTAAAATCCAATTTGTGACACCATTAAACTTAAAAAGAATTAAAACTAAAAAATAGTTTACCTTTAGCAGAGATAGTTTTACCTTGATTAGGAAGATTAGAAGTAATAACAATAATTTAGTTGACGTAAGATGTGGTAATATTGTTGTTGCGTTAGCCTTATTTCTTGATTTGCATTACTTAGTCCTCAAATCTTGCTTTGTGTCTTTACCCTTAATCAAATTACTTTTCCCATTATAGAGTTTATGATTAGGTAGGAAGTCATGTTTTCTATAACAAATATCAGCTATGTCGTTATTTTTCTCACAGTGGGTGTCAATTTTCTATTTATAGATTTCTTCGAATTTTTTGAAGGGTAATCATGTTTCTCGAAACAAGCATATTCATTATGATCTGTCTTTCCACATAACAAGCAAGCTTTTGCAATAGCAGCAACGATCTTGGTTTCCAATTCAGTAAGAAAGTTATTCTCCATAATCTATCTCTCTTGTTGTGCAACATGAGATGAAATGTTATTATAGTGATCCTTTTTCTAACTCATCCCATATAACTTTAAGTTTTGTAAGAAGTGTCTTCTGGCTGAAGTTGAAAATATTCTTCGGAAAATATAGATTTCAGGTCGTTCTATATCTTGCATCTTCTCCATCTAAAGAATGTTTTGCCTTATGGGTGGTGACCTGGAATGAACGATTCATGACACAATATGATTGTACCGCTTCCAAGCAAAAAAATATGCATTATCCTTCTTAGATTCAATTACAATTTTGTGAACAAACTCAATTTTATTCTTTACACTAAGTTCGTGATCATAAACTTACTCCATGAGTAATAATTCTTAAAATCTAAAACAAGGGGAAGAGACGTAACGTAATTCTCATTCGAGTGTCAATCCAAATAATTATAAACAGATAAAGAAGCAGTAGAATCTTCAACCATCATGAAAAGAAAAGAAATAAAGGAAAAACATAAATAAGATAATATAGACATCAAAATTATTAAAAAAAACTCTAAAAAAATTAAGACTTCATATTTATCACATGTGTGATAAAAGTTACGCGTTAAGAATAAAAGAAAAGGCATATGAGGGCAAAAACAAGAAAAAATAATTTCATTAATCACAAAGAGTGTTTACAAAATATCAGAAAAGCTTAAAAAAAAATTACTTATAAAGCCTAAAGCTTGGAGAAATAGAGAAAACGAAAAAAATCCGCTTAAGTGTTAGTTGTTTTCACAGACAATTTGGAGAAATTTTGTAGAGCGTTTTTTTTTTTGTCTATTATGAGAAGTTGAAAAAGATATTCCTACGACACTCTAATTTGTTATCAACAAACTGACCTGGTGTCTAAATTATTTATTTGTTTTTTTTATTAGGCTAAAGTATCAACAACTAAATAGACGGTTATCAAACAAAACACTAGAAGAATTATGGGATGTCGCCTGTGGCATTACACGTATGAATAATCCATGAAAATTTAGAGGTAGACTTAAATGATGTAAATTAAAAAAAAAACAATAAATTTATGCATTAACAAGTATTAATAATAAAATAATAAATAAATCAAACATGCAATATTCATAATCAAATATTTAGGATACGTTAATTTGACTGATTTTACAAGATAAATATTATAATGTTATCAATATTTATACATTAATCCCTCTTCCCTCTTAAACAAATGAATATTTTGAAAGATTATCCTTTAATCATTTATTAAAGGACTTGATAAAAAGAAAAATGATACTTTAACAACCAAAATTCATACAACTCCTGTAAACAACTCTCTTTTAATATTATAATAATAGTTTTACTTTATTTTTATTTTTATTAAATCATTCTATAGATTATTATATTAATAAAAATGAGTTATTTGAAGGGTTGTATAGTTTCCAGTTGTCAAAATATCACCACTCGATAAAAAAACACATAATATAGTTATAATGTAATTTAATATTGATATATAAAGAATTAAATTTTATTAATCTTTATATATAAGGAATTAAATTATATTTATCATAATATATAAAGACTTACTTGAAATAAGAATATAGTGAAAAATTAATTATGCTTTTAATTTTATGAAAATTTTAGGATTAAGTTCACCCTGTTACCTTAGAAATATCAAAATATAGTATTTCTTAAAAAACATATTATCTTTAATAAATAATTTAAACATAAAAAATATATTAACTTTTGAGAAGTTATAATTTTTCCTATACCAAATAAGCGAGAAATAAAAAATTTCCTCATACGAGTACTTCCTCGAAGAAATAAATTATATAAAAAATAATAATTTCCCTTTATATAATATTGTTGACATGATTTTTTATTGAAAATAATATAAACAAACAATTAAAATCTCAAAAATAAATCCTTATTCTGAAGTATTGTAATTAAGTTTTGAAATAGATTACTTGAGATACTTAATTTTTTTTTTTTTAATTATTTTGAAAATATTTATAGAAAATTATCATTCGCATATATCTATTCATATATTACACATAGTTATGTTATTTTTATCTCTCTTTTTTGTCGCATCATATTTTTTATAAATTATTATTTTCTCTTTTTTATTTATTTGAAGTGCTTGTCCATTAAGTTTCCTTCATAAAATTTTGAAGTCCCTGTATATATATAGGAAGGAGTTGAGTGTCTTTTAGGTTTTGATTGATCGGGGGATGGAGGAAGAAACAGTGCAGCGTAAAGGCTCGCACTTGAAGAAGAGGGCTCTGAAGAACAAAGCTTTGGGCATCACTTTCAACGAGAAAGACCTGAAAGACTACGTCACTGGCTTTCACAAGCGCAAAAAGAAGAGAAGAAAGGAAGCCCAGAAGCAACAGGACGAGGCACTGCGCCGCAAACGCTGCGAAGAACGCAAGAATGTATTCACTCTTCTCGTGCTTTATTATTACTGAGAAGAAATCGCATTCTATTACAATGGAGGGTTTGGGTTGGGTTAGATTTTTCATTATGTTTGATTGGGCTCTTTCTGTAGAGGAAATTGGAAAGAGAATTCGTCTTGTATGGAGGCGTCACGTCTGATCAAATTGAGGAGCGTCAAGAAGAAGTTACCGACCAAGTTGAATCTATTGCAGGTACGTTTTATCAATTGGAACTTGCATTGTTTGTTTTCTCAATTGTTGAGTTAGACTCACTTCTTTCCACTCTGCACTTGGAATTGGAAAAAAAAAAGGGGGGGGGGGTGAACCTTTTATTATTATAACTTGAAATTAGCTTATGAGTGTTTTTTAAGCTAAACAGAGTTTATATATAAGCTTAATTGGAGAAATTTATCCAAACAACACCTTAGTCGTGTTAGAGGTCTTTTTTACTCTGGCATTCATGTTGTGCTTGAGCCTAATGTGATACTAGGAGAGGTGTAACTTAAAAGTTTGTCAATGAGGGTTAGGTCTTGTGGAAGAGGTCACAATGTGATAAATCTAGGTTTGGAACCCCAATGTAAGAAGTGCCACATTTTTTGTTTAACTGTTCCTTGAACAATATTGTTTTCAAAGAAGGAGACTTGTGGAAAGTATTTAAAAAAAAAAAAAAAAGTAAACTTTAGAGTAAAACCTGTACAAAAGATTTGTTTGTGAGTCATTTGGTGATTGGTTTACCTGTTGTTTGAAGAAACGAAGACCTATGAAAACGCTGATTTAAAAATTACTGTGGTGACAAGTGAGATAAACGCTGAAGAAGAAAATTATCCTAGTGAGAAGAAGGAAGAAGCAATGGCCTCCCATTCTGTTGTGCCTGATAAAAGGCAAGGGGTACCTATAAGTAATCGGAAATCTTTTAAGAAGGTTGCAAAACATAAGTCACGGCCAAAGCCATCAAGTAAGAGAGATAAGAAGAAAGGAAAGAAGCGAGGCAAGAAGTAATGGTAGTGAAGCACCTTGCATCTTCAGGACAATCCTAAATGTACAATGATCTGCGTATTTTTGGAGGTGTTTGTTAAGTGCAGTAACTTGACTACCTAGAACTGAGAACTTGCTTATTACAGGGATTTGGACTTGTTTCATAGTTGAATATATGTTCTAGTTGGATACCTGGTTCCTAATATTCATGACAGGACTTTCTTCACCATGGTCTTGTCATTGTTGTCTTCCTATTTTCAGGATTCGAGAGTTCAGGAAGAAACACCTACTTTTTCTACTATGTTTTATTACCTCAACTCTTGTTTGGTTAATCGGTAATGGTCTTGTGTATTATACATTTAATTAATTCACATATTTAACTTTCTAGATTTTCTTTTCTCTTGTTCTTTCTTTTTGTATAAAGTTTTAGTTTCTGGTCAAAGAACGCTTTTAATTTTTGTTTTTCTGTTTCGGGTTAATATGAAGACACACAATGTATAACAAGCCCTAATAATGTGAAACATTATTTTTGGTAACCCAACTCATTACGTTACGAAAATGTGTTAGGTGATATGTACTCAGCTAAGGGTAATGGTAAGTTGGTTTCAAGATCAAACCTGCTGCCATTGGAAGTTTTATTTAAACCTTAATCAGGAATATTTTCTGCCTTTTTTCCCAAAATTAAAACAGATCAAATGACTACTGGCATTTTGGGATTTAGTTGCAAAAACTTCTAAACCATTTGGTGAACTTGTGAGGATGCTATTTGACCAATATTAAATTATATTTGTTGTTAACCATATATGGCACTTTCAAATAGGGAGTTGCATCATAGACGAGGGCATGATAGGATCTGTTGGTACCCATTTCTGGTCTAAAGTGCAGCTCTATTTGTGTTTTAATATGACAAGATTTTCAAATTAGTAGCAAATGGATGGCTGCTCATTATGGGGAAAAATGCTATTTCAATTAAAGAAACATTATGTCTTCAATTTTACAAGAACGACTAAAGGAGTTCGTATTTGCTTGATTATAACTTTTACAAACAATGTTCAGTTTTTTAATCTTTAAAATCTTGATAAGTAGCTATTTTGTTAAAACTTCTTTTTAATATAGTTTTTGTTTTTCAATTTAAAAAAAAATAAAATTGATGAAAATGTATTTTTTTTTGTTTTAGTTTTTCTTTTCAGGTGTGATTTTAACGGTGTTTACACTACATTAATAATTTTGATTCTTATCAAATTGTTTGCCATTTTCCATCTTTTATTACCATTTTTTATTGTAGTTGCTTTTCCTTTTTCCTCTAAAATCTTTAAATTAGAGTTTTTAAATAGTTTTTTTTTTAACTTATTCTTAATAACAATATTTCAAAATTGATCTTTAAACTGGTTTTTAAAAAATAAAATAGAAAATTGAATCACATAAGAATATTTTGAAAAGAGGAGAGGAATAAAAATAAATGAATTTTAATTTACATTATAAAATAACTATAATACATTAATACAAGAGAAGAAAAAAAGTTCGGAATTAGAATATTTACAATGTAAAAGTCTTATAAGATTTTATTTTAAATAGGTTTTACCATCTTACATTATTTTTAAACAAAAATTACCAGTGTTCTTTTAACCACGAGGTCTTTGTAAGATGCAAACTTCTATAATTCTTTATTTGAATTTTAATTTTTTATAAATTCAAAAATAATTCAGCTATTATAATTAAATATTAATTTAAGATTGGTGTAAAAACATTTTATTGATAGGGAAAAATTAGTATATATATATATATATATATATATATATATATATATATATATATATATATATTTAAAACCTTGTTAAAGATGTTTTTAGACTTTTTTTATTAATATATTTTTTTGTTTGATATTAGGTTAAAGGAAAAGATTGAGTTGATTATTCTCATTTGTCATTATTCCCTAAATTTTTTTAATCTATTCGTATATTATTATTTTGGTTCCCAATTTAAATGCTGTTAAACTTATTTACTTATATTTATAATTTTAACCTTTTATTTAATGTTATCGAATAAATATTAAAATAAATTATTAATTATTTATATTTTCACATCTTTTCATATTATTTTGTCTTTTTTTTATCAAATTTTCACTTCTTTGTTTTTTTTATTTCTTCAATGGGTGAAACACAATTTTTTTTCTCTTACTTATGATTAGTTACTTTTCTTTAATCTCTTTAATTAGTTTTTCTTTTTCAAACTTTTCAACGAGTTTGGTTTCTCTAATATTTTTGATCAATTTATCTTTTTCGATCTCTCCAACTAATTTAATAATCTTAAAAAATTAATTTTTTGTTTGATTATTTTATGTTATTTTATTTATAATTTATTTTTATTAAGTTTTATTATGTTATATTTTTTGGATTTTATTATTCTTATTTATTATATATTAAATTTTTATATTTGTTACATTAATGGTAGTTTTTCTTTCATGTTTTATAATTAACAAAGTCTTATTTTAAAAAATAAAAGTAGTTATAAAGAAAAAGAAAAATATTTGGGCAAAAATAATATAAGTCTTATTTACGTGGTTTTATATATATATATATATATATATATATATATATATATATATATATATATATATATATATATATAATAAGCATATGAGAAATAATATTACATGGTCTTACTCCTATACTATATAATCTGGATCAACTAAACATAAGAGTAGGATTTGTCATTTTAATAATTAATGGATTGAACAAGATTCAATGCAATTATGGTAACAAAATTTAGGGAGAAAATAAAAAAAATTGGATGAAATAATTTTTTTTTTATAAGCAAATAACATCAATTAATTAAACTGAGTACAAGGGATACTCAGATCCCAAAAATAGAGTACAATACAAAGTAGAGAAAAGTTATTAAAAAACATACTAAACAAAACAGATCCAAGGATTATTGTGTCAGTCTACAAGGTTACAAGGCATTCTTATACCAGTCGAAGAGATCCACTTCCAAGAATATAGACGAATAGAATCAAACAATTTCAACCGATAGCCAGATTCATACATTCGTGCTAATCTAAAGGCAAATTCTACAGATTTCGGTTGGAAAGTCTTTACAATCATTTCGATTTCTTTTTTTAATCCACCCAAAAAAAGACTTACTATGTATTCTTTCGATATATTCGATAGATCCAATCTACTAACACTACAAGAAATATTAAAATTACCGACGGTCAAAATCCGTCGGTAATAACAAAAATCCGTCGGTAAATGAATATTACCGACTGAATTCAACGACCAAAAATCCATCGAAATTCGCTTGTCGGTAAATATTACCGACTGATTTATCCGATCAGTAAATATGTTGCGAAATTACCGACGGATCCGAATCAGTTGGTAATAATTTTATTAATTATTAAATATTAATCTTATTTATAACATTATTTTTTTTATAGAACCCCTCCCCCTTATATTCTTATTATTTATTATTAATTATTTCAATTATTTCTCCATATTATATTTTTATAACTTTGAATTATTGTCGATTGAGAGAAATGTCATTGGCGAGGATTCGAACCCAAGACTTAGAAGTCGAGACTGATACTCCAACCACTAAGCTACTAGAATTTCTTGATAACAATTTACAAATAAATTATATTTATATACAAATATACAAATACATTTATATATATTTATATATATTTATATATATTTATATACATTTATATATATTTATATATATTTTTTTATATATTTTTATATATTTTTATATATTTATATATATTTATATATATTTATATATATTTATATATATTTATATACATTTTTATATATATTTATATATATATATTTTTATATATTTTTATATATTTATATATATTTATATATATTTATATATATTTATATATATTTATATATATTTATATACATTTATATATATAAATATATATATTTTTATATATTTTTATATATTTATATATATTTATATATATTTATATATATTTTTATATTTATATATATATTTATATATTTATATATTTATATATTTATATATTTATATATTTTATATTTTATATTTATATATATTTATATATTTTTATATTTTATATTTATATATTTTTATATTTTTATATATTTTTATATTTTTATATTTTATATATTTATATATATATATATATATTTATATATAATTAAATATTTATTTTTAAAATTACTTAATTTAATAAATTATTATAAATTAATCTAATTATGATTAAATTAAATTATTAAATAAAAAATATTTTATTTTTTAATTAGTGAATAATTAAATTATATTATATAATTTTACCGACGGATTTATCCGATTCGGTAAATAATTTTTAATTTACATATGAAATTACCGACGGATATATCCGATCGATAATTACTTGTTAATTTATCGACGGATTTACCGACGGATATATCCGTCGGTAAATTCATCTATAAATTACCGACGGATTTATCGACGGATATATCCGTCGGTAACTAATTATTATTTTACCGACGGATATATCCGTCGATAACATCAAATTTCACAAATATTTTATATCCGTCGGTAATTTCCGTCGGTAATGATTATTTTCCGACGGCTACAATTCCGTCGGTAAATATCCGTCGGTAATACGCGATTTTCTTGTAGTGTAATAATTAAATCAAAATTTTCATGATATTCCTGCACAGATTTCTCCTCCTTCCATAAATGCGGTAATTCTGCCACAGGGTCGTCAATGCTCTCGGTTATTTTCTGCATATTCAATTCTTGCATAATTTGTTTGAAAGAAAAAGCAAACCCCATAAAACTATCATCCATCTTTTCACATATACGTTTCTCTCTCTGAGTAACCATTTGAAATACAAATTCCTCCATCTCTTTTATTGCTTGAGGAACCAATTCTTGCACTATATATACGTTCCTCCATATCTTTTATGGCCCCAGGAACCAATTCTTACTCCATACGTTCCTCAATCTCTTTTCCTGCCTGAGTAACCATATCTTTTATAGCCCCAGGAAATAATTCTTGCCCTATATGTCCCTCTATCTCTTTTCCTGCCTGAGTAACCATATCTTTTATAGCCCCAGGAACCAATTCTTGCCCTATACGTTCCTCTATCTCTTTTCCTGCCTAAGTAACCATATCTTTCATGGCCCCAGTAACCAATTCTTGCCCTATACGTTCCTCTATCTCTTTTCCTGCCTGAGTAATCATATCTTTTATGGCCCCAGTAACCCATCTTTGCCCTATACGTTCCTCTATCTCTTTTCCTGCCTGAGTAGAAGATTCTTGCATTATTTGTTCCTTCATGTCTTTTACTTCCTCACTAACCAATTTTTGGACTATTCCTCTCAGAGAATTAGTAAACTCCATATATCGATCATCCATCAATTTAGACACACGTTCCTCTATATCTTTTTCCATGTCTTTTATCGCTCGCCTGAGTCTCTTTTATCGCCGGAGTCGAACGGGAACGGCTAGTCTATGATTGGGCCTTAACGATGTTGTATTCAATTTAAGATTGTTATGAAATAAAAAAAAGGACAAATACTTCTTATATCTAAGGTTATGCAAGATAAACAAGAGGTGGGTACAATAATTTATAATGCAGAATATGTAAGGAATGCATGAATATTTATTAGATCATGTTAGGGTCAATAGACAATTATATGTTCTCCTACCAGTATCTTAAATTCCATTTATAGATACAATTCAAAAAATATTCAAAAGTTTATAAATCTAAGAGATAAATAGCTTTGAAGTTATTAATAAAGAAAAGTGAGTAGAACATCATATATGAAACTTACATAACCGATGTTACACACCGTATTGATGACTCTTGGAACTTACATGATCAAATGGAATAAATAATTTTTCAAGTTATATTTTATATTATTTTTAATTTTGTACGATAAAATGGCTAAATGTTAATTATGTGAATGTTGAGTTAGGGAGTCCTCACCCTCCTCGTCTCTCGCCCTAGTTTTCAAATTTACCTATTCCTAGCATGTCCAATTTCGTATTATCTTAAAAAATGTAGTTATATATAAATTATAATAAATTAATTTTAACATTAGATTCTAATCCCAACTCAACATTCACATAATCAATATTCAATCATTTTATCATAGAAAAAGATAATAAAAAAATGACTAAAAAAATTATTTATTACCTTAAAATATGACTTTATAAGTTTCAAAGTCATCAATGTAATTAGAAATAACAATCACATATTCCCTTTGTTAATTACTTGAAGTTCACCCTATTGGTGTTATAGTCACTCTTCCTTTAAGAATATCCAACGGAAATTATAAACTTCGGATATTTCTTTTTTAATTGTATTTTTAGAAGGAACTTGAAATACTAGTTGAAAACATATAATTTTTTATAGAATCCAACATTATTTACAATCGAAAGCAAATATTAATTCATGCTTAATAGTTACATGTGCAAACTCTTTCCTTATAAGCTCTTTGTCATAAAGATTTTTACAATAATTACTTTAAGTCTGGTCTTTTTCATTAATTTTAATCTTTTTAAAATATTGTCAAATCTTATTTTAAGTGTATTTTATATTGATTGTGTAGGCTCGTCATCTCTAGTTATTGATGAGACTTCATTTGATATAGAATAGGACTAACATAGTTATAATTATCTTTTAGTTTGTATATTGCATTATCTTCTATGTATATAACAAAGATACTTCAAAATAAGACCTTTGTTATGTTTTTTCTAAAATATGTTTTTCTTCTCTACCATGTTTTAACTATAATTAGTTTTTTTTTAAATAAATTTTGTATTGATTGTAAAAGATAAAAAAATGAAACATATAATTTGATATATCACAAATAATAATAATAAAATCGTGAAAACATATCATAACAAAATGAAATGAAGACTAATTAAAAATAAAACAATACTAGATGTTACTAAAATCAACTTGCACTATTTAAAAAAATATATAAATATACAAAAATTTAACTTTATGTCTTCACCAGATTGATTGAAAAGATAAGATGAACAAAAGATAAGAGAAAATAATATTATATTGATTCACGGATGCACTGTAGTCAAGGAAACAAGGAAGGGGATTTAAGGGAGGGTGTAGTTGTTTGCATTTGCTGATTTGAGAAAATTTAAGAGGAAATGAGAAGGGGAAGTTTTAAACATATTCACCCTCTCATGCAAACAAATGCATACAATTGAGGTGAAATTGTCTTTTTTATGTGATGGTTTTGAAAACATGCACATGCAACATATAAAATCTCTGCTATACGACAAAGTGAGAAAGACAAAGACCATGTGTAATTACACGGTCAAATTGCCTATTGTAGTCTACAATGTGTGACTGTACGACACAATGGCGTTGCACTATTCAGAAGTTGAATATTTTCTATTAAGGAAAGGGTTCTTCGTCCATAAATACACTCATCCCCGTAGGTGAAGGTTGCAGTTTTCTTTTTCTTCCATTCCCATCACCCATTTCCAGTTAGAACAAGTTCATTCGTCCAAGTGAAGAAAGCATCGAGCGAGAGTAGTTTTAGTTGTTGTTCCAGTTGTATTTGAAGCTACAGTGGTTGTCCTTCAGCTGAAGGAAGGAAAGCTACAACCAAACCTCTTACCGCATCTTCAACAATTTTAGGAGTCCAAGTAAATAAGTTCAATCATGGCTTTGTTAAATGCAATACTGGTTTAATAGTTGGTTGCTTATTGATTTGTGTTGGATTGCATGATCGTAGATATAAACATGAATATCTTGCATGTATATTGGTTGAGTGCAGTACTGGGTAGAGAATTAGAGGACCATATTCAATTATGTAACAAGGCATAATCAATTTTTTTTACTCATGATCGATTAATAGGCATGGGATAATCGATTATGCTTGACATCAGGTGCTGCATAATTGAACATGGGTTCTACATAATCGATTATGCAGTGACCCATATTTGATTATGCGTTAATTTTTATGTTATGCGCCCAATACAATACATGAAGAGGATTATTACATCAAATAATTTTTAAGTTATATTTCAAAAATTTAAGGTTAGATTTTGGAGATTATAGGTTCCATGAGATAAATTTCAAGTAAAAGCATATAAGTTTGATTTGAAAAATTGGTGGTAAGATATTTAAAATTAGAACTTAGATTCGATATATTTTATGTTAAATTTGAAATTTTTTAACTGGTATTTGAGAAATTTATAGTTACATATAAGAAATTAAAAGTTAGATTTGATAAATTATAAGTTATATTATATAACTTTTAGGTTGATATGTAATTTAAAATTTATGTTAATTTTAAGTTTTTTATTTATTACAATCTAAAAATGAAAAAAAAAACGTGAGAGTCAAAACATAAAAGATTATGAATAGCTAGTAATAATAATTAATTCCTGTATAAATAATTAAATTTAATAATTAACAATTTTTTTGGTATTTTATAAATTGTCTATATTAAGACATTAAATTTTGAATTAAAAAAATTCTTGAGAGTTAATATCTTTTTAGTGGTAATAATTAATTTTTAAATTAGTGCTTAGTTTAGATTTAAGAATAAAATTTATTTTGATATTTTATAATTTTTTTATATTAAGACATTAAATTTTAAAATAAATAAAAAATGAGAGATAATTTTTGTAGTAATAATAATTGATTAAACTATAACTAATTATCAAATCGCTCTTTAATTTAAATTTATGAATAAATTTTATTTTGGTAATTTATAAATGATTTACAGGAGGACATTAACAAGGTAATACAATATTCATTCAAAATATCAAAAATTTTAAATATATAATTTAAATTACAACAAAAAATATCTTATAGTTAATATATAAAGTAATTTTAATTATACTTTATATATAACATAATATTAATATATTTAAATATTATATATAATATAAATTAATTAATATTTTTATATTCAATTATATCATAATTATTATTTCTACTTAATTTATTCATTACAATAATAATGGTATTTTGGTTATTATACTAGAAAAATTATTATTTAATTTTTTTTATATTCACTTTTATCAATCACATCACTATAATAAATTTATTCAAATTTTTTCAAATATTTTCTCTTCCTTTAATCCAAACAAAATCCTACTATCCACTCTAAATTACTTCAAATCTCCTCTAAATCACTTCAAATTCGCCCTCAATCCAAACACAAGCTAAAATAATGAAGAATAGTTGAAATGAAAGAAAAGAAATAATACCATATGTAATATGAGAAAGAAAAAAATATATAAAAATAATTAAAATGATAGAATTTAAATTTAAACATAAACATGAGTGATAATATTAATTGCATTACTTACACTGTCCTTAAATATGATTTCTTAAATTGCAGTAGATAAGTTATCCTAAATTTAATGTCTTAAAATAAAAAAGATCTAAATTTATTTTGTTTAAGAAGTATTCGATCTCATATTTATACAGTATTATTACGATTAATTCTTATATCTAACATATTATCTATTTTAGATTTCATGATTTTATATTTAAAATACGTTTTGATGAATTCAGGACAAATTTTGTTTATTCGTGAATTGGAAAAAAATTTAGTTAACTTTTTTTTTCTTATCAATATCAAAGGTAGAGAATATTTTGTGTTCATCTCTTTTAAAATAATAAAATAATGACATTTTAAAATCTTACCTAAGTATTAAAAAAATTACAAGAAGTTATGTTTTTTTTACACTATCTCCAGATATATACATTTCAAAATTTTAAAAGAAAATAAACCAATTTAATAATTACATAATTAGCGTACCTGAAAGATGCAGAGAAGGAAGGATAAAATTTAAAATAATAAATATTTTACTATTTCAAATAACCAATAATTCAAAATTATTATTACTATTTCAGAACAAAAATAATATTTTAGAAGGAATATTATAAACTTTTTTTCTTTTTCTTATTTTGACATCACTTATTATTGTCTCAATTTTTTTTATCACTCTTAAGCTTACAGCCGAATTCACCCTAAAACAAAGTAGATCTTGAGCATCGTCCAAATTTAAAACCCCAGAACAAGGAAAAAAAAAGAAAGAGAATAAGAATAAAGGTTATATTATTATTATTATTCCCATGTCGTAGTAAAAGCGTAAAACTGTAAACCAACCGAGGACGAGTTAAAACAAAGTAACAGAACGATCTGAAATCGGACGGCGACGGACCCCAACACCTAAACGTGGCAGAATCCTAAAATAACGATGTAGATTCTCCACCGAGCGCAAGCCCAAAAAGATAGAACAAAAACGCGAGATATGTGAGTGACACGTTTGTTTTGAGGCATGCGACAAAATAAGCGTCAGCGTGCAAAATAGCGTTCGTGCCCGAAAAAGAAAATTCTGAGACGTTTCCCCGAAGTTTCCATTCTCCGTACTTTTCCAACTTTTCCCACCTCACTTTTCCTTTTTTTTTTTTTGTTCTCCCTCTTTTCTGTCCCCACATTACACTCCCTTTGGCTGCTCTAAAAGCGATCCAAAAGTGGCGCTAACTCTCATTTTCCGTTTTCTATTTTGCCGCTTATTTATTTTCCTCAGTCAACTGAACTGTTGAAGGTTACGTGACTGAGAAAACCTACTTACCTTGTTGTGTGCCGCCGCCACCACCGTGCTTTTTTCTCTTTCTTTTGCTTTCTCCGCAATCAAACAGGGTTGGGATTGGAACAATGCACGGAAGGTATGTCGAGAGATCGAGTGGCGCGCCGCGAGAGAAGCGAGGTTTGGATTCGGCTTCGGCCGAAGAAGGTCAACCTGATCGGAAACGACCTGCTTTGGCTAGGTAGTCCTAATTGCGTTTTCTTCAGAGTCTCGTGCTTCACTGATTTGGATTGTTTTGCTCCTTCATCGTTGTTAGGTTTTGTTGCATTTGTTGATATTGAGAAAAATTGCCCACAAATGCGGTTATAATTGTGGTTGTGGACACTTGAAAAACCTTGACATTGCGCGAAAATTCGCAGTAACGAACTGTTTTTTAAAATCTTGAGGTTTAGGTTACAGTGTTTGCATGAAAATTGATAGAGAAGTAGATTTGTCATCTTATCTGGTTTTATTATTGGTAGCATAACTAAAAATTTGAGGCAATATGTTGTTTTCGCATGTGTCTGAAATTCATATGAAAGAATGGTTCTAACAAGCCAAGCGGGAAGAAAGTGAATTCAACTGAGTTTGTGTCTAACTAAATGAGTATGTTCCACTAAGAGAGGAATCTCTGTGGAGGCTGTTATGTTTTCATTTGTTAAAGCTTACTTTGGTGTCTTAAACTTTGTTATGAGTGTGTTTATTGATTTTATTAACTTATTTATGTTAATTTTCAGTGTAATTGTTGAAGCCCTGAAGGTTGACAGTCTGCAGAAACTTTGCTCATCACTGGAGCCTATTCTACGCAGAGTTGTAAGAAAATTCAGTTCATTGTGGTATTAATTCTTAATATACTAATCTGACAACTTTGTGAAATTTTTAGTTGATTTATTGGTCAATAGTACCTGAAGTTATCACTTGTATAATCTACTACTCACTTAATCAGCCACAGAAACCACAACCTTAGGCTGCTGCCCTGTAGCTAAAATTTATTCTACTTCGAACTGGTAGGCCTTGACTTGATATGGGGCCTAGAAAGAATTGGGTTGGAGATTAGTGATCTTGTATTCAAAACTGTAGAAGATGTATTTTGTTTTTTCATTTACTCGTTATGAGAGGAAACGGCCTCTCATGTTTTCCTCTCACATCCTAGAAACAGCTTCTCTGCTTAAGGGTGTCGTGCTGGCTGGTTATTATACTGCTTCTAAGCCTCATTAGGTGGGAACCTTATGCAATAGGTCACCTATTTTACTCCTGGAATAAGTTGGCCTACAGCGTTTATGTTTGAGTGTTATCAATTTAACAAAATTGATCAAATGCTTCTTTTGCACGAATAATCTTTAATCAAGGTCATGTGTCTTATTTCTTAATTTTATGCTTGCTGCTGAACAGGTTAGTGAAGAAGTCGAGCGTGCTTTGGCAAAACTATGCCCTGCCAAGCTTGCTGACAGGTATTTTTTTGTTCCCTCTTGCTAAAGATAATGTTTATGTCAAATGAGTGTACATGACATAGGTAGGAGTGTCAAAATAAGTTTAGTCGGATAGACTGACTCGAAAAATAGATCAAGTTAGGTTAAAAAATTTGTGATCCAAATTGAAGTAGGTCTATATTTTGGTCCGGTCCGGTTCATTTACGTCATGAACTACTTGTTTAGGTTAAACTAACTTGTAAGCGTATGGACTGACTAGTTTTATAAATAATAATTATTTTTTAAATAAAAATAAGAATAATATTATTTTATTAAAAAATATATAAATAATAATTATTTTTAAATAAAATAAAAATAATATTATTTTATTAAAAAATATATATGTATTATAAATTAATTTGATAAAAGATTCACTTATTTTAAGAGTAGATATAAGAGTAAATCTTTAACATCTACTTTGTGAAGGATCTAATTATTAGGATGAATTACTTTTTAAATCAATAAATTACTAAAAAAATAAATGATTATAATAAAGAGTAAGTTTTTAACTCTTATTTTGAGACTGACTGAATCTTTTATCTTGTAATTTATGTATTAAATCATTATATTTGAAATAAAAATTAATTTCATCAATCTAATTTAAATTTTTAAAATTTATTTTTAATTTTTATTTAAACATTTTTCTAATTAATTGCTTCGATATATATAGTTTTTTTTTTTTTTTTCAAGTAGGTCAAACTTGGTTGGTTAGTTCATTAACTTAACATAAGGTAGGCTAGGCAAAAAGTTATAATCCCTTTAAAATAAAGGTCAGGCTGGGCCATCAATATTTTTTAACTTGTTTCGTAGGGCCAAGCTGGGTCGGACCGCTTGTTTTGACAGCCTAGACACATGGTTTTCTTGAGCTTTGGCTACTTATGTTTTCGTGGCAATTAGTAAGATTATATCCTGCTATAACTTCCTTTATTAGAGGTTGGAATGATGAAATTAGACAGGTAGTCTCTGCTAATAGAGATTCTGTTACATTTTAAAGTAAAATATTTAGTGAGCCGTATCTGGTCAATTATTAGTGTGTTAATTTCAGCTTCAGCTTATATTATTTATCACCATGAGTTTATAATATCTATGATTTGTCTCTCTAATACAAAATTTAAAATTCAGGTCTTCCCCAAAGCGAATAGAAGGCCCTGATGGCACAAATTTACAATTGCAGTTCAGGACCAGGCTGTCCCTTCCCCTCTTTACTGGTGGAAAGGTGGAGGGCGAGCAAGGTTCAGCCATTCATGTTGTTTTGATTGATGCAAACACTGGCAACATTGTCACATCAGGGCCAGGGTCATGTGTCAGGCTTGATGTTATTGTACTGGAGGGAGATTTCAACAATGAGGATGATGATAATTGGAATGAAGAAGAATTTGATAGTCATATTGTGAAAGAGAGGGAAGGAAAAAGGCCTCTTTTAACTGGTGATCTGCAACTCACACTGAAGGAGGGTCTAGGAACACTGGGTGAGCTCACATTTACAGACAACTCTAGCTGGATAAGGAGTAGGAAGTTCAGGTTGGGGCTGAAAGTTGCCTCAGGTTGTTGTGAGGGAATGCGGATCCGTGAAGCCAAATCAGAACCTTTCACCGTTAAGGATCATCGTGGAGAATGTAAGTTCATAACTTATGTTTGATATATCATTCCTGGAAAATGGTTCTAACAAAACTTCAATTGAATTATAGTATACAAGAAACACTACCCTCCTGCCTTGAATGATGAGGTCTGGAGACTGGAGAAAATTGGCAAGGATGGGTCGTTTCATAAAAGGCTAAATAAAGCTGGAGTATATACTGTTGAAGATTTCTTAAGACTTGTGGTCAGAGACCCTCAGAGATTGCGGAATGTAAGAATCCAGATTTTTGTCCATTTTTTACTGTCAAAGGATTTTATAGGTGAACTCTCCTTAATGTAGATCCTTGGAAGCGGCATGTCAAATAAGATGTGGGATATTCTTGTTGAGCATGCCAAGACTTGTGTTCTCAGTGGAAAACTTTATGTATACTATCCTGAAGATGCAAGACATGTGGGTGTCGTTTTCAATAATATTTATGAATTAAGTGGCTTAATGGCCAACGACCAATTTTACTCAGCCGATTCTCTCTCTGAAAATCAAAAGGTAAGATCTCTTTCACAATCTTTTCCATTTATGTTGAATTCAGAGCATATTGCTGAGTTTCTTCCATCATATGATTAACCTGATCTCAGATGCCATATAATGAAAGTTGTTTTCCCTAGCAATCTGATTATTGACACAAGCAACATGGCGAAAGCATCTAACTAAAATATAACTGAAACAGCTTCTCCATGTTGATAGAATAATATCTTTTTCTTGGCTGCAATATTTTTTCCTTTTTTTTTTGGAGTCTTATTGTGGTCTGGAACTTTTGCTTGTCTTTAAACCTTGTACTTTGACAAGCAAATTATCTATAATTATTGTTGTTTCTGAAACTATTTGGATAAATTGGCTTGGCAGTAGGCATATATAAGTGTTACAAAGATAAGGTGGGGAAGTTTGCTTCCATATAAGGGTTAAAATTTCTTCAAAACCGTAGGCAAAGGAAAGGATGAATTTTCTGATAATGCCAACAATATCTGTCGTAGGTTTATGTAGACACGTTGGTGAAGAAAGCATATGATAATTGGATACATGTTATTGAGTACGATGGGAAGTCTCTGATAAATGATAATGAGGATAAGACTTTGGATACAGCTCATCCTCAGGCACCAATGACTTCCCATGAATATTCAAACTCTCTTCAGCAGATACCCATCCCAGCTTTGCCACTTCTAGTTCATGCAGGCCAGCCTTCAATGGATTCAGGAGTAACAGTTGGAGGTACATATTTCCTAGCAAAAATAATATTATCAGCAACAAAAACAAAAGGCTTTTGCAGTTATTTTTGGTTTAAATTATTTTCTGAAACTCGCTCCTTTTTATCTTTTCCTGCAGTTTCTGTTCTGTATTATTTTGACAATTTCTTTGCTTTGTTCATACACCCATTATATTTTCCATTTCAAAACCCAACTTCTTTCCAAATGCAAAGAGTGTATCTTGAGAGATTAAATTGGTTTAGAGAAAAATCATTAAATCCAATCTAATTCAATAGAAACGATTTAGATGGATTTGGTTGTTACTTTTGATATTAGTTTTATTCTTATGGGGTAAATAACTAAATTTTAAATTATATATATATATATATATATATATATATATATATATAAGAAAAATAATTAGCAGTATGAACTATCTCATCCCTTAAGCTATAACCTAATTGATACTAGAATGCCCCCAGCCCAATCCTGCTCCCATTGGTAACAATGGAATTGTCGGATTTTATCTTAAAATCAATTGTCAAAGTTGCCCAACATTCTAAAAGTTTCCTACAAGTCATACTCCCATAATTGATCCAAGCGATGTGTGACTTCCCAATGTCCTCCTTGAGATGTCTGTCAAACAAGGTGAGATTACTAAAACAGAAAATTACCAAGATAAACTTTATAGGCTCTAATAACATATAAGATTTTACCTTAAATTGTAATTAAGTGAAGTTGCCCAATAGATATATATGTCACATTCTAAAAATTGAAGCAGGTGATACGAGACTTTCTCACATGACATACAATTCCATAATTTAATTATTGTTTTAACAATTAATGAAAAATTACATTCAAACAAACTACGGTAATAATTAGAACTAAAATTCTAGTCAATCATAAAAAACTGGTTTGTCATATTTCTAGTTTTAGGCTTGATTTTTTTCCATTTTCGTTAAATTGAATCAGATTTTGAATATCCCTACCACAACTTTACCCTTTTTATCATTAAACCTAAAATGTTAGAGAATGGTACGTAGCCTGAGGAACATGATTTAGATATAATAAATGTTTAATGCCTCACGTGGTGAAAAATTGAACCATGAGATGACTGTCAGTGGAAGAGAATGACAGCATAACGGGAACAATGCTGCAAGCTGCTCTCGTTCCATATCAATCTGTGTAGACTGTCTTGCTCATAATCGACCTTAAAAAATGGTGACCACATGAGAATTTTTTTATTGCTGACTGACTATACATGAATGTCTGCAGGTTATCATGATGGGACAACTTCCAGATTCTCCTTGCAATCACAGAATCCTAGTCTTAACTCTTCCATTCAATTTGATGATAATGCATTTTCACTACAAAACCAGTTGGTGAGTGTTCCACACCATGCCCAACTTCCAAGAAATGAAAACGGGCTAACTCTTTGTCCTGCACAATCATCCACGCATGGTTTTGAGCCTGGCATCATTTCAAATCCTACTTATAGAGGAGTTGAAGAATACTTCCCAGAGGAGGAAATTCGTATTAGAAGTCATGAGATGCTAGAAACTGAAGATATGCAGCATCTACTCCGTATGTTTAACATGGGAGGCCAACCACATCCTACCTTCAATGGCCACGATGATGGGTACCCTAGTTCATCTTCGGCAAATCCCATGGGTTACAATTTTGATGATGAACCAAATCGTTCCTCAGGCAAAGCTGTTGTAGGCTGGCTCAAGCTGAAGGCAGCTTTAAGATGGGGCATTTTTATTCGGAAGCAGGCTGCAGAGAGACGGGCACAACTTGTTGAATTGGACGACCCATAGAAATCTTGGGGGCATTAGCGATCATTAATGAACTGATCAATAGTTTTTCTGGTTATAGCATCCAAGGCTTCTTTACTGACATGCAGAATTGTTCTCATGCTGAACTTTCATAGCATGTGCAAGAATATGAAATGTGGATTGAACTATTTGGTGCAGACTTAACTTGAAGATTCCAATGTGCCTTGATCTAATAACAGTTGTGCATAGACCTCTGCCTGTAGAAGAATATTACTCTGCAGCATCTCCTCTTTAGCTGCTTTGCTTGTGATGTTTCTACGCCCAATTTGCAAAGGCTCGACGGTTGACTTGTTTTTAAACTGGTAGTGTCTGTTGCTGCAATCTCCTTAAACCTGCCAAAGCTCCCAAGTGCAATCTCAAGAAGCTAGAATCTTTACTACATTTACTTGTTTGTATTCAATTCTGTAAAGTTAGCTAGCTAGGTAGGTCAACCTAACTGATGTTTTATGCTCTGTAATTGCCTTGTCGCATTATAGTTATAATTAGTTTGAACTGCCATGAGCTTCGAATACTTCTGTTTGCTGCTTGTATACTGGTGAAAAATATGCTAGATTTGACTACTTGAATGTACATGTGAAAAAACTGGTATCATTTTAAATGGAGATAGTACATTGAGTTTATTAATTAGTGTAATTTTTGTTACATGGTTAATGAATTACAAAGTCATCATTAGGTATAATTTTTTTAACTGATCACAAAAATATGCGGCTTTGTAATTTCATGACTACCAAAAGTGTCATGAATTAGTTAGTTAACAAACAAATACCAAAGTTAAGGATAACCAAAATGATGCCCATTTTATAAATAACAAATTATGAACAATTTAATAAAAAAATCGCATTGTTTTGTTAAGAAATGATAATGACTTTATTTACCTGATATTTGGGGATTGATGGACTATATGAACAAGAATATATATATATATATATAGTACTTTGGCAACAAAAGTTGCAGGCACAGGGTTTTTTTAACAATCAAATTTCCATGTGCAATTTAGTATTTTGAAGATTTGGTGTGGAAAATCTTGACTGAGTGGTGCCAATTGATTTGTGATATTTGTTCTGATGATATAAGTTTTTCGGGGGATTTACATGCAAGTCTTCTAAAATTATTCTTGGTATTTTAATTTTTTTATTGGTCTTGTGGTTGTGGTGTACTTTGTTAATGCAAGAACCAATATCTTAGCTCAGGTTTTTGCTTTGTGAAGATAATAAAGCATATTCTATGTGCTTAAAAGGTATAATGCTGAACTTTACAATCAGACTTGTAACAAACTTTGATCCAGTTCCCACTTAGATAAGAAAATCATGTCTCCTTGAATAGTCCTCAACAACTCTCCTCGATCCCTCTTCCCACTTTGTTCTGGAGTAGTATCAATAACAATCTCTTCGCTACAAAACTTTTTTAAGGTGATAAAATCCGTGCTAAGACAGCTAGCAATACATATCCCCCCTAATACTAGATCCACCCTAAAGCTCCATCAAATTCTTTGTATGATAAAAAGCAATGCTTAACTTACTCTGCTCAGCACAATCTACTCCTAGATAAAGATGAAGGTCAATGTAAGGATCATTTTCCCCTCATATTTTTAAGCGCTTCCAAACTGTATCAAAACCTTTTTCTGATTCAAACGAGAAATCGCTTTGCAAGATTGATTGTTTCCATCTTCAGTGATGAAGTTCATATGAGAAGGAACAATGCTTTCGTCAAAGCAGTGTTGTCATGGTCTCATTTTTTTTCCATGGAGAGGTGCGTGTCGTGTCACAACACGTTTCCTGGCATGATTGATCGGGCCAAAACGAGGCAAACGCTGCAACGATGAATCCCGTCCTTACATTAATCGTTTCCAAATCCTTCCTCTCCAAATTCCCAGATTCCTTTTCAATAACAAATACTAATTCCAATTTTCAAATAATGAAACACGGAATCAGAAGTAGAAACACTGAAAAACAATTCTAGTCTCCAGAGAAAGATTCCATACATCCTAATTTTTTCGAATTCCATATATTATAATTTAATCGGATGTAAAGACATATTAGTTTAACTGATTTAATAATTAAATCAATAAACAATAATGCAATTAGCACTGACACTTCATTTTATTAATCCATGTAACAGGATGACGTGTGAACATTTTCTGACACATCAACACTTAACAATCTAGAGTTAATGGTGAAGGCTACATGTATTGACAAGAAAAAAACAAAAGATATAAATACTTAAAAACTTGGAAACTGAAACCAAAATTGATTATATTTTGATAGATAAAAACGTATTAAACTTGGAAATTATAGTATGAGATCAATTTTATACTTAAAACTTTTACATAGATACAAAAACCGTAATGGTGGGGAAAATCACATGCAAAAGTGTAGTGAACTTATTTTTTTAAGAATACTAAAAATTTATAGCAAAATAAAGCGTTACCTCACGAAAATTGCCCAATCATTGCACCTAAATTTGTGGCATTTGAGTTTTAATTTTCATTTCATTGTCGAATCCCACGTCAAGTTCATCCATGAAGAATGGATGAAAGTCGCGCAATGCTTCCCCCTCTCACAAAGCCAGTACTATTGATTATTTACGGTGCCATCTTTTTTTACTTTTTTGGGGCTGAACTGTTTAATTCTATAAAAGAATAATTAATTTAATTTCGTGTTTTCAAATGAACGCTAATAAGGAATATAAACATTCTACAACAATGTGTTCAAGGACCATTAAGAAAATGGCAAATGATTACAACCCGGCCGAAACAAGAACAAAAAATGTATCCGATAAATAAATGGCAAATGATGCGAATCATTCTGCATCCGATACCTCATCTTCATCTTCCTCCAAAATGTAGACCAGAGCACGCTTTCTTGCAGCAAATACACAAGCCACGCCTCTTGATGCTGTTCACGATATATAAGGGTTCAGTGCAGTTTATACTCAGATTAACACAACCAGCTCGAGGGTAGAAATCAAAGATATCTTTAAAGGAGGGGGAACAACATTCGCAACGATTATCGATATATACATCAGAAGTTTTACTTTAAAAGGCAATTAGTTGAACCGTTCTGTTGAACCTTACATATAACATGTAGATCCAACCTATATCCGTTACCATTTCTATTATCTCAACCTTTGTACCTCTGAATATAGTCAGCTTGTAACGAAAGACAGATTAGAAATAAACATTCTTCAGGAATTTGATTAATATTTTTATCTTGACCTGAAACATAATTAGCTAATTTCCTAAATTGATTCTTGTACCTACAATATACTTGCACAGTATGCACCCACCTTTTCCTTCTTATTCCTATATATTAGTCGCTGAAAGATAGAGATCAACACACTACATGATGATTCATAAACCAAATACACTGCATGAAATTAAACTTAAGGGGAGATATTTTACGGTCAAGTAGAATCAGCTTATATACAAGTTTTAATGCATTTAAACCATTGGACGACAGAGAGAGTACTCACCACTAACTGCCAAGGGAGCAATTACAGAATGAGGGATGGTGCGAGCTTTCTCATCCTCAATATGCAAGTAAGCGACAGAATCCTAGACAAACATAATTACAAAAATATGACTATGATGGAACAGAAAAATTATAAATAGCTTCCTTAAGGAGATATCTACGTAATTCACGTAGCAGAACTTACTATATAGAATACGAATACTAACTCATGGTAATTCTTGAGATTATGACAGGATTATTGAGATTTTACGAGATATATAGTCTGTAATTGTGATAAAATTTGATTGATTTCATTGTAATTATTTTCTTTTATTAGCTATATATAATTAGAGTAATTGGGTTGAATATCTTGTAATATTTTTTTTTTCAAATTCAAGCTCTTCACAAAATTCCTAGGCAGGTTTTTCAGACCAATAATTGTTCCCTACCGTCAGTTCTGGTAATCTCCAGATATCTGTATAAGTAGATCTTGATATAGCTACATATGGTAGATCACTTGCTTGCAAAATCATCATACAACCATCTCCAGCACTCTCTGATGTATTAGTAGCTTTGTTTAGTAACAAGACAATTTGACTATCCTGATTTAAGCAACATTAAAAAAATAAAAGGATAAATCTCACGATTTGTGAACATTAAAATTGAGACTATAAAGGCTGTATGAAATACTTCTAACTTTCTCGTTACCTTGTACAAAGACAGATCCACACATTGATAATCAACAGGAACATGTAATAGCACGCCTTCTAAAGAACTACAGCCCTTCTTTAGACAGTGTGAGTCATGCATGAATCCTCTGACTATGCATATGCAATTTTCAATATCTGAGAAACATTCATCGGGTACTTGGAAAGATGCGTAATCAATAAACTGGTTTGGAACTGTTTGAGGTGATAAAGAAGCTTCAGAAGAATCCTACATAAAAAAACACGAATTGAAGAAAATAATACAGCATTATATAAACTAAAATCTAATCCAAATTACTCTTATTTTTATAAAGAATTTTCAATGATTTATGACAAAATATGTTATTTGAGTAGGAAATTTTAAAAGAAATTGAAATTTTAGGAATTTATAATAGTAATTTCATTACTTAAGATCATAAAATTTCAAAATTTTCACCTAAAAAATATGAATTTGAAATTTTCAATACTTTTTCTTTTCTCACATCTACATCTCTTATTTTGGTATGCTCTCTTCAGCCAGACCTTGATCGGGACATTGTTAACTCGATCAAGGTAGGGACAACATTGGCTTGACATCATTTTTTTTTGCTTGATCTAGATGGAGTTTCTTTTATTTTAAAATCAATCATGATTATTTTTTAATATCCATCCCTAAATTTGTTTTTTCGATATAGGCCAAATTATTTCTCAACTGATGATAGTCAAGGACTTCTTTGTCAATTGGGATTATTTTCAGTTGAAGTTGTTTTTCAGAGTCAATCAAAATGTAAGTCAAGGTTATTTCTTAACCAACGTCAACTAATGTTTTCTCAACCAACATTGGCAAGATCATTTTTTGACGATGTCAATCATGTTTTATTTATCAATGTCAATGAGAATATTTTTTGGCAGATACAAGTCAAGATGTTTAACCGATGTTGATGGAGTTATTTGCGATTGACATTGTTGTGATCATTTATCTACTTATGTAGTTCAGAGTTATTTCTCGGATGGCATTTGTTAGAATTTCTTTAACCAATGACGATGGGATTATTTTTCAACGGATGTCAACCAGATTTTTTCATCTGTAGTGGTTATATTTTCTGATGTTTGCAGAGTTAGTTTATTGATTGACATCCGTGGTGTTATGTGGTGGTAGCGTTTATATTTGGTGGTATTTGAAATACTCTATCTAAATAAGAAAATAAAATTTTTATAAATTTAAATTGACTTATCCAAACAAAAATATTTTAAAAATTAAACTACTTAAAATTTTTAAATTCAGTGTATTTAACTAGATTAATAGGAATTATTAAAAAGTTCATTCTGGAAAGTACCTCATAATATGATACTGATGTGGGAATTCTCATGGATGAAGATGATTTTGGCAATGATGGTAGAGGAAACAGTGGTAGTATATCCTCACAAAGTATCTTTCTTGATATTGTGGTAAAAGGCATTTGAAAAGCCTCTTTAAAGCTGAAAGACATTGAGGTCATAATGAAAATCCGAAAGAATTAGTGAGATGGCTAGAACAATGAGAAAAATATATATTAGTAATTTAGAAGACTTGACTTTATTATATTCTCTGCTGAAACTAAGCAATAAGTGAAAGCTTATGTCAATCATTTCTTGAACAGAGATCCTTTTTGTTTAAACTATTTTAAGATGGTATCAAGCTCAGGTCTAAACTAGTAGAGTAATAAATTGAATGAGTCATAATGCTTCATGGTTCATATACGCTACCTCAAGGTAATATAACTATGAATAATGCCGTATTACTTTACACTATGGAATAAGTCAATTTACTCGGAACAAAAATAGTTAGTTTTGTTCGTGACATTCCTCAATATTTTTGAAATCTCATTCATAATGATTTAAGCACCATAATCACTAATTTGATTCATGAGTGCAATGAAAGGTCAATACCAACAGAAATAAGGTTATCCAACTAGAAGGAATATAAGGGCAAAAAAAGACCTTAATTCCATCAGCTGAAATTCTTTAGCCAATGTTCTCCTCGGATACTCAGTGTCTAAAAATCCCCCAAACTGAACCAATTCTCTAACTCTTTCCATTGTTTCCCTGAAGAGATAAAAAAAAAAATCACATAAAAATGAGGTTAATCTCAGGACTTCAAACAAATATAAATAAGGGTTAAATATGTTTTTATTCCCTATAAAATTAGTCATTTTTTATTTTGGTCCTTGTAAAACAAATTCTCTATTTTTCATCCCTATAAAATTTGAAATAACTCTTTTTAACCCTTATAAAATGTGTGAATTTTGGTGCCACTGCCATCTTTCAATGGTGATGACCCTATTTGGATAATCACATGGGCAGAAACTTATTTTGAAGTATAGAATATTAGTGAAGAAAAGATTAAATTAACAAAGTACCCTATCCTTTTGTTTAATCTATTGAAAGAAATAAAAGATGGATTTATGTGAGATAAGTAGAAGTAGGAAATGGTGGTAAGGTTGTGGGGCAACATAATCCTTTTCAAAACTTGACCAAGTTGAAACAGGAGGGATTGGTGGAAGCGTTTACAGAAGCATTTGAATTTCTCAGATCACAAGTTAATTATTTACCTAAATAACAGTATTTGGGTTATTTTTTGGGTGGGTTGCAGCCTGAAATTAAGCATCAGGCGCTAACTGTTCAACCCAAATCAAGAATCTGGGCTATGCAATGTGCACACAGTAGAGAGCTAGAAAGGAAATACACTTGTGTTCAAAACAAGTAATGCAAGTTGGCAAGTAAAAATGGGATCTTTTCGTCAAAGGGCATAAAAAACTGGTTCTATGATCCACAAGGTCATGCAAGATCAATCATTACAACAAGGTGACTACAGGGGTGGAATGGAAACCAAAACTTTTCAGACAAGGTTCAAACTCAAATCTAAAATAAAGGAACTTCATCATCCATGGTGTTCTCCGGTAGAAAAGTTTAATCCCTTACATTAATGGGCATAGAACAATTAATTTAGGAGATGAGTCAGTTTGTGTGTGCTTATTCAAAAAAAGTGTTTTTGTTAATAAAATAAGGCAGATTTCAACTTTTTTTTAATGAAGCAAAACCTATCTGCTTAAATAACTGGTTTTTTAAAAAACTGCTATTTCATAAACACTAATTTTAAGTTTAAACAAACTGATCCAATGAATACCTAAACAAAGATGGAGAAGCAGTTGTTATTGAAGTGGATAAAAATGACGTGGTGGAAGAACTAAATTCCAACTTTCAGCCTTGGGGACAAGACTGATATTTCAGCAGAAGCAATGATAGAAACTGATAGTCAGGGACAGTTATGCTAGTTATATGTAGAAAATAACTGCTTTAGAAATCAGTCTTTATTAGAAACTATAAGATGACAGTTATGTATAGAAAATAACTGTTGGTAATTGGTGTTGAATTAGAAACAGGGATGACCGTTATTCATGTGTAGAAAATGACAAATTCCCACTAAAATTGTCAATAAATGGAAAAATATTAAAGAATTGGGAGTAGAAAACAAAACTTACAAATCAATTTCAACTTCATATTCTGTTTCTGATATTTCCAGCAATTGTTTAACTGGATCTTGTTCGTAGAGAAACTTCAAGAATATAATAACAAGTTCACTGCCAAAACCAAAAATAAAATCAGACAAATAACATGTTTTATAATCATTCATAACATTAAGGAATGTTTAGATGAACCTGCTATACGGTAGAAGCTGGTCACTTGGTTCTGACATGAGTAATTTTATACACTTTAATAGCCAGTTGAAGAAGTTTGAGTACTGGTTGAAGAAATGTTAAGAGCAAATAAATTAAAAAATAATATCAAAATAATAGACACAAAGCCTTTTATAAATGCATTCATTCATATCTTTCAAACATTATTTTCTGTTCAGACAAATGGAATCCAAACACGTGTTCCATCATTCACCATTCAAAAAAATCCAATCACAAGCTGATCATTGGATCCTAATATCTTATCCTCCACAATATTACAATATGCTCACAAACTATAGTATAAGAAATGGTGATATATATAATGTATAAACAACTTCAGACAAAATGTGGTATATATAATGTATACACAACTTCAGACAAAATGTGATGACATAATACATAGATTTTCATAACGTCAGACACATGTATTCATTCACCTAAAAAATGTTGCTTCTGACAGTAAGTAATAATAAGTTATAGGTAAATACAGGCAAGATTATGCAATATAACATTCATTCAAACAAGATACTTTATTGGTTATGCATTCCTATTTATTTGCATGTGGATAATGGGAAGTTTATGTCCCCAGGTCTTTTTGCTAGTGTACATCAGTTAGTGTAGTTCACATCAGTACAATAGTCTTTGTATTAGGCGATCCTAATCTCTGTAATTATATCTCAGTTTGTTATAACAGTTTTGTTAACTGTCATATCAGAGCTGAGTCAGCACAGTAGCCTTAGCAGATTGCAAAGCACTAGGGTGTCCATGAATATGTACTTTACTGAATATTTCAGAATTAATAAAGTCTACATACCTCTTTCATATTCTCCTAACATTAGATTGTAATACCTTTTCAGTGACTAAATTAATCATGTTGAATTTAAAGTGATAAGCATATCAGCAATAGCTTGTTCTGGTATCTGTTCAAGACTGACTGTTAACTGTTAGAAGTTTGATCATTAGAAATTCAAAGCTACTATATGACCATGACCAAAGAACTTTATCAAATTGTAAGAACAACCAAATGTTCTGAGGATTTTTTTAATCAGATACATATTACCTCAGCACTCAATATAGAAAAAGACTACTTGTGTTTGTTGGGGGGTTTCTGTTAAGCTCTTCCTGGTTCTACACATCGAACCCACAAAAAAGGGTAAAAAAAGCCAAGAGTAACTTAAAACTTTTAGAAGGCAAAAGTAATTTTTTTCATTTCACTGAACCCAAATAGGCAACTGGAAGCAATGTTATCAATTAGCAGAATATGGTGTGGAAGGACAAAATTCTACCATATGAACGTGTCATTGTGGCTTTTGGCACTGACGTAGTGGGGCCCCCTTCTCAAATTGTTTGGTGTGAGGTCAAAAAATGCCACATTATTGCTGTATGACATCACTATAACAGTTATTTAACAACATTGCTTGGCGGTTAAGCTGGTTCAAAGCCCTAGTTAATTTAGGACTATTTTGCAATCATTTCCAACATGATTGTCAAACTCAGCTAGTTAACTCACTAAACTCGGACAAATTTACAAGTCAAGTGCTTGGTACAAGTTAACTTGGTTATAAACTCAGTTTTGAGCCATACTAATGCTGATTCGGAGAAACTTGAGCAAACTCATGTTTACTACCAAGATAGCAAGTGTGTGAGAAAAAGAAAACCCATTCAAAATGACTCAAAGGCCGTCATTGGCAGCTCTCTTTTACAGCTCACAATTAGGTTTTCTTATTACCCTATTCTTGTTGTGTCATTTCTTCATTCATGGTATGCCCATTCTCCTCTGGGTTCCTTTCTTCTTTCTAATATGTTTCATTCTCTTCTTATTTCATTCTTCTTTGCAAGAAGACTAAACTTTGGTCTAGACTGCGTTTTGGTTGTCTTCCATATGAGGTGATCTTGATAATATAGATTTTTATGTCAATGTTGATACACACTTTCCATCTAAGAAAGAGCTTGATGGTGATGGAGATGAGAATGATGATCTTGGAGATGATGTCATTAGAGGATTGGAAACAAAGAAACTTGAAAACATTTTTCCTTTTATAGTTATTTAATTTTATGTTTTGTCGGTATATGAACTATTTATTTGGTGTGGTTTGAACTTATATAGTCATGCACTACTAAATTAGTTATTTTAGAATGGTGGAATTTTATTTTACTTAATGTTGAATTAGTATGTTACAAATATTGTAATTGTTTTTCATATGAAATAGACATTTACGAATTTACGAGTTAAGTCTACGTACTCCAATGAGTATATGTAAACTCTTGAGTATGATAACATTGTTTGCAAGACTCCTACGAGTATATGTAAACTCTCAGATTTCATAATATTGGTTGCAAGAATTTACTGCTAATCAAAACTTAGATTTTAATTGTAAATAATCTTGATATGTTCATTTCTTTCCATTTATTTCCTGTGTTTCCCACTAAATTTCTCCTTATAATTAAATATTAGAAGTCAATTCTTATAATTTTTATCATAGAACAACATGCGGCAATGTCTTAAAAATAGACCAATTATTTTACCGATAAGGCTGGTTCACAATTCATTGGTTGAACCATAGCTCATTGAAAAAAATTAAAATATACTTTTAATATTATACAATATACTGACTGGGGACTAAAATAATATAGAATTATAACAAATTAAGCTATGTAAAATTCTAAAAAAGCATAGAAGAACCATATTACATGTCCAACAACATAAAAAATTATAAATAGTTAATAACATTTTATAAGTAAACCTCAACGTTTATTTATTTAAAAAAAAAACGAAATACAAAAATAATAAAGCATCATCTATATAAATAAAGATTTTTTAATTGGTTTTTTTGCAACCAGTTTTTGGGTGACAAGGCCCGTAAACTAACTAGTTTGGGGTCATATTGCCTGATCCTTTTTCAACAACTATGACATACAGATTTTGATTTATCATTGTAGTTCTAATGGAAGTATGTAGCTGATAACAATTTAAAACCGTGATAACAATAGAGCATAAATGGAAAAAATAAAGCCAAATTCTATAAGATTCATTTAAAACATAAAAAAGGCACACCTGCTGCACAACAGATGAAAGAACCCTCATAAATCGTTCAACTTGTACAAGTAGCATACCAGCCTTTTCTGTTGCATTGTTAAGAAGTGATTCATCCAAGCCAATGCCGTGATAGCGCGCTCGCCATCTTGAAAGCCCTCTTAGTTCTCCTATTCTGAATCCAATTACTTCTACAGCAGGCTGACATACATTTAAACTTCCATATGAGAGCTTTAAGCGAAGTATGTAAAAAAGTACTTTGAGTAAATTCAAAATTAAATGAACTTCTAATACCGTATCAAAAACAGTAGAGTAAAACTTCAGTCAATTACATGAATGCACACGAATGTTTTATATCTCCTAATATCTAATTCAATACACTACCATGCACCTCTTGTGTTATGATCTATGGCCATGCCCCCTACATTGTTGTTATTAAAAAGTAGGAGAAGGCTTACCCTTAATCCCGACTTAGTTAACACATGGTAAGCGTGCAACAATGGCATAGCTCAAACCCAAAAATAGGGTTAGATGAAAAGTTATAGAAGAAAGCAAAATGACCTCAATAATCTAGGAAAAAGGCTACAACAGGATGCAACAAGAAGTTGTTTGGCATTACCATGTTTAACATATTTGCTTTCAAAACATTTCTCCTTATTAGTAAACATTGATGTATATTGTACCTGGAGATGGTCCAAGACAATACGTTGAAGTTCCTTGCCAGCACCAGAGAGAACCTTTGAAATACGCTTGACACCCTGTAAAGCACAAAAGTTGCTCAATGAAAACTACAACCACGAAGAATAAGACAACTAGATAAGGCTGTATGAATACCACTTCTCCAAGAGTGTTTACGAGAAATTGATGAACCGGTGGGCTAGTCCTTGCACCACCCAAAAGGCTCAGAAACTCCTCTTCAGGAGAGGAATCAAGTCCTAGTAACAGAAGATAGAAACAAACTGAATTGATGGGTAATAACAAAAACAATATCCATAACAGTTATTGAGTTACCATGATTTATAATCAGAGTAGACAAAGAGCTGAACTTCTCCTGAAATGTGTTCATGGCATCAGACCACTGCCTACACATAACTGATAATGATGTCCGAACAACCTCAGTCAAATCCTCAATGTTAGAAGCTTGTTGAGCTACCTGGTGAAGCTCATTTTTCCTGATAAATGATAGAATGAATCAAAATGCAGAAATAACATGCAGAATTTATTTGCATTTGTCTTGAAACCATAAGGTTTTTACATGTTACAAAGAAAAAAAAATATAACAGTAAAACATCCCATTTCTGAAAGAATGTTTGTTTACCTATTCCAAAATATAGTAGTGTTCAGTGCTAAGCAATGCAGACCATGCTCATTGTGCCCAGCCAATTGAATCTTTCCCAAGTCATCACCAACTTTAGCAAGGTCTCCTGAGCACATGACTATCAAACGACAAAGATCTTTTGATAAAGCAACCTAGTGACATGTAACAACATTAACTTCCATAAGTAACTTCCAAGGGGAAATGTAATAAAACCAGTTGTCCGCCTTTATCTAAGAGCTTAAACTTTTGGGAGAGTTATTTTACGCATGATATTAGAACCTCTATGATTGTGTGAACTATAATTTGATCCTAGCCACCTTCATTCTTCTGATAAAAAGCTCATTGTCAGGTAGGCTTATGCATTAACCACACTTAAATCACAAAAGACTCTTGCATTAAAGGCCAAGTTAGAAATGTAATACAAAATCATTCACGTTGCTTCACCTAAAGCATAAGCCTTTTCAGGATTTGGTTCATGACAGGTATTAATTAACTTGTGCTAGTTGAAGGTTCAATACTTTTTCTTCTTTGATTCATTCATACATGATGCATCAATATATAATGAACATGGAATCACCCTTTGACCACCTACTCGTCTAAAAAGATTGAGTGAGCAGAAGTAGATCATTAATTCATTTCTCATTAATCTTTTGGCCGAATTTCAAACATCATTGGACTCATCCATAAATAGTTCTTGATGTAGTTCTCTGCTGTTTTGATCATATTTTAATTTTCTCATCTCATATCTCAAGTTTAAAACAGTCATTAACATGTTAATTAATGAACTAGTTAACTTCGAACATCAAACTATAGTTTAGGGTTTTCCAAATTCTGTTACCAACTAAAGGGAAGTGGATCTGAAGTTCAGTGATCAAAATAAAAAGAGAATCTACCTTGTGTATTGAAGCATTTGAAACTCTCTTAGTTGTTTGTGCACCATCATGGGAAGAAGGAAAAGTGAGGTTGTGTATATTCTGAAAGACCGACAACCATAAGAAGTTTTAATGAATTAAAAAAAAGAAAAATAAAATAAAATAATTGAAGGTAATAAAGAAACAGACAAGGCTAACTTGATATTAATGTTTAGTATTAATTATTTTACAAGTATTTGTTTGTGAATATTTTATTGGCTTTCACAGAAGAAGTATTAACAAAAAGTAATGTATGATATCTTCCAATATGTTATTAGGAATATCTTCTTAGTTAATTAAGTAATATCTAATACTATACCAAAGCAACGTGGCTTTTTATGGTCATATTTTTAACAAGTCAACAATTATTTAAAAATCTCACCAATAAAATATGTTCCCCCCCCCTTCCTCTAGTCCATCCGGCAATCCCTAAAATCTCAACAATGTCATATATTTTTCACAGTAAAAACGTATGTTAAGCTCACTAATTAAGAGATAATTTGTAGTCACATTAGTTGGCTCATCCAATCAAATATTAACTATGCCTGCAGATTAAGCCACAATTAAATCATAACCTTCTGATCTTGACAGACAGCCATGTACGTCTCCAGATATTATGTTTTAAAACAAAAATTAAACAGCTTGGAAGGAGAGACAGTAAATAAATAATTTATTCAATAACACAAGCCCAAAAGGTTAGGGTGTCATTCCCTACCAGACCTCAAATTAATGTATATAATGAAAAATGTTAATTTCTACAAGAGACAATGACTTACAACTTTCCCTATAGGGAAGATGCCAAATATACTAAAACAAATGTTTCCATCTTTATCTGCGCTGCATAGGATGTTGAATCGTTGGTGAGAAGAATTTGATAGCTCCTGAAATGAATCTTCACTATCATCCATGAAGCCATTATCACCTGACACCAATCCAGGCATCCGAGGAACTCTTGGGGCAGGAGGAAAGAAACGACAGGTTCTATCTTCATACTTGGAAGTATGACCATGGTCATCCTAGAAGAAAAGATTCAGATAGTGGCAGAAAAGAAAAATAACTAGGTTCATCCAGTCAAAACATGCAGATTCATCATATAGAAGACCTTCACTGTGAAGTCAAGACACATTCATTCTCAGATCCTCTCAATTTTGCTCCCTCTCTAACGGCATCCAATATAAGAAGCATTGATGTGGGATGGTACTTAAGTATATTTTCTTTGAAGATATAATGTGTCCGTGTTTTAGTTTGAAACATAATTTTAATAACCGGGCAGAAATATGAGAAACAATAAACCAAAAGAATGTCAGTGACATTCAAAGTTGACATTGTGTACCTCTTGCATCTTTTTATTTAATTCCACCATTTGCTTCATACATTCTTCGAATCCTTAACTCTAATACCACCAACTTAATCAAAAGCACATACTATTTTCCATTTAGAGCATACGAGAATTCCTTCAAATTAGACAATGATATCCATAGTCTAACACAAGGCTAAGCATCATATCTCACTTCGATTTTGCTAAATAAAGGTACACATAGAAACCATATTTGAGTAGATAGAAAGTATCTTCAAGACATTCCACTGAATCAAAATTGAGAAATCAAACTAAAGATCATCAAGAGTAGGCATCGGATAAAAGGAAGCATACTGTAATTACCTGACTGTCCTCCTCCCAGTTGAGACATATAATGGCAGCACAATGTGATTTTAAGCTTCTTAGCAGCTTTCCATTCTGCGTTATAGAAAATATGAAGAATCAGTTATGTTAGATAAAAATAAATAAACAAATAAATAAACCATAAACTCTATCTACCACAAACAGGGAGACAAAAGCACCATTGAGAACAAATCCACTGACACCCTGTTTGTTTAATCTTCAAAATCCTTTCACCATAAACATGTTTCAATGCAAAATCTATGGCTAAGATTAATTTTGGTCACATTTCTCAAATTGTTGATATCTTCACTAAGCCACAGCATATTGTGTTATTCGAGAATTGCATGAAACTAATCGAGATGAAGGATGGAAAAAGTCCGGTGAAACAACCATAAGGCTAAGAGGGGAACCATCCCTCAAAAGCTAGCTCAAGAGGTTGGAGAACCTCCTACCTTATAAGGCCTCCCTGGTAAGGAGACCTTCCCAATGTGGGACTTGTTACAATACCACCCCGTTCGAAAGCCAGCGTCCTCGATGGCTGCACTCCACGACACTTCACTCACCGGCACTTCACTCATTGGTACTTTACTCGGCCTTCTTACCGGTCAGAACCCTCCAGTGGTCAGAACCCTCCGGCGGTCAGAACCCTCCGTGGGTAGCCCTTCTCGAGTTGGCTGACTCTCAACGAGAGCACCATTGAAACAACCATAAGGCTAAGAGGGGAACCATCCCTCAAAAGCTAGCTCAAGAGGTTGGAGAACCTCCTACCTTATAAGGCCTCCCTGGTAAGGAGACCTTCCCAATGTGGGACTTGTTACATCCGGGTGCTTGGGAACTCAGGTACTCGATTGTTGGGTAAGTCGACAAGTCTGCTAGTTGGGAGCTCGGAAAGTTTGAAGCTTGGGACGTTTTGAAACTCGGGAATTGTTGAAGCTCGACAAGTTGGAAGGTCGAGAGATCGGTCATGCCAATCTCAAATTTTGTTATAAAGAGATTTAATTTTACAAGGTAGTTTTGTTGGATAAAATTAAATTAAAAAGATAATTAATTTAAGAGTTTATTAGGATAAAATTAAATAAAAAAGATAATTAGGAGTTTGTTGGGACATTTTGATTTTTGTTGATATTACTAATATCTTGGGTGGTTATTATTTGATTTTTGGAGTTTTTATTTCCTAAGATAAGATGAAGATTTTGCGACAGTATTTAAATACACTATTGTATTCCTCATTGAAGTATGACAAAGAATCAATAAAATTCAGTTTTATTCCGAAATTCTTTGTTATCAAAATCAAATCTATCAAAACCAATGCTACCCAACTTTAAAACCTACGGACATTTTATCTATCAGATAAACATGATTCTTATGATTTATCCCATCTTGCTAAGAAAACCAACAAAATGACAAATATTAACCATAGTGGCTTTCTATTGATAACCCTTCCTCAGATAGAAGAATATCCTATTTCTTACTAATTAGACTCGCAAATTTCAAAAATCTTATTACCAAAGTAATCTTGAACATGTAGAAACCTTGATACTCAGTTAAGGCCAGTATTAGTAGAGATACTCAACAATGTCAAAACTGGTAAAAGCACAAGGCAAGAGGATCAATGCTACATAAACTATAAGTGAGACTAAACATTTAGTAGCTTGCTTAATCCTGTTAACTTAATAATAACCGGTCAGTCCAGGAACACTTAGAAGTTTCATGCATACATTTTTCCATTTAGATTTCGCACGATAGCACATCAAATAAAACATTTATTAACATATAACATAACTAGCAATATCGGAAGAAAAAAAAAAACAATCTAGAACAACTGACTAAAAAGATTAGATCCGACCATATAAAACCACTACCCACCTCAACATCATGCAGTGACACCGTCCCGTCATCAAGCCCAACAGCAATTGCTTTTCCATCAGGACGCCAACACAAGGATGTTATACATTTTCCTATAGGAAAAAGAAACATTCTATCAACACCGAAGCAAGCAGTTGTAGCAGCATTTAATACACTATCATAACTTTGAAATCCTATCAAGAAGTCAGAACAACACGTGGTTTACCGTTTCAAGTCATTTTCAAGTTTTAAGCACTTCATACCGCATTAAAATCACCGCGCATATAAACAATTTTCACCGTCAATTTAAAATAAAAAAAATCGAAGTAATCCAGGAAGAGAAAGAGAGACCTGGAGTTATGGTCCACAAGCGTTGCCAATTGAAACGATGAAGCAAGATCTTGGAGTCGTCAGTAACCATAGCGAGCAAGTCCTTCTCGGGATTCCACTCCGCAATTGCGATCTATGATTCAAAATTCAGTCATAAAATCAAACAAGCTTTAAAAACGGCATGGATATAATTAACAGTAATACAAATGTGAAAGTTAAATTGACAAAACCTGAGAAGCAAGGGGTTTATCGAATTGAAGCTGGAAGGGAAGCACGCGAGAGGATTCATCCGTTTCCATGTCTAACGGAAACACCGAGCTTCCGAAAAAGTTCAAAATGTAGAGTGATTCAGCAAATTTGATGGCAGTGAACTGTGAATGGTGTGGAGTGAAGTAAAACCCTAAGCAGTGAAGTGAGGTAAGAAAAAATAAATGGGAGCATAAATAACGAAAGGATGGAATAGAAGAATAAATGAGAAGGATGGAAATTTATTACAAATGAGTTATTAAAATGGCGCTCATGGCAAGAGATGGAGCCTCTGGGGCGGGTTTTTTTAAGATGAATTTGTGTTACGTTTGAATGCGTGCTAAGGGGGGAAGGATGGAAGGAAACGAGATGGGAAAAAACTGAAATTTTGTAAATTTTTTTAGTGTTAAAGGGATGGGGTAAATGTAAGTTTTTAATTTTTTATAATTAGGGTTTTAAATGTACTTTTTTATTATTATTTATTATTTATAAATTCTTATTTTTAAACTGTCAACTTAATCGAAGCCCAATAAGTTTGAAAGTGCAGCAGTGCAGATTATTTCTTCCACCAATTTACGTTATTATAGTAGAATGATGATAATAATGTTTTTTTGCGTTATATAATCTAAAATTAATTTTTATAATAATAAAATTTATCAATACAAACAAAAATTATTCATTAAGTCCTCTTAGTTATACAAGCTTTATCCTTTGATCTTTATATTTAAAAATATTCATTCTAGTCAAGGGTATAATAAATATTATATATATATATATATATATATATATATATATATTAAAATAAGTCAGTCTATGAGGTCTAATGGCCTTATTAACAATCTAAAACATTTTTATTGAATAAAAGTTTATAAAAGTTTAGGTCTGACTTACCTTTTAGAAAAAGTTTAGTCTGAACTTCTTAATGTAAATCATATCATATGATTATGTTCAATAGTATAGTTTGTTTATAAACCCTACTACATATGATTTTGGCTGTAGTCTCTCTACATGTCATTTTTTATCCTTTTTATTTCTACAGTTTAAATCATAAAACCTAAAAGAGATTAAAATAAATACGTATAAGAACTTAAATGAATAATTCATTTTTAATCATTAACACAAAAAAGGATGTTTATATAACTATGCAATAAGTAATTTAAAATCTAGGAACTAAAATTAAAATCCCTTAATTTTACATGATCAATCAAAAACAAGCTAAGTTATTATTCATAATAAAGATAACTAAAAAGAGATAATGTTATTACTTCCTTCTTCCAGTTATTATTAAGCATGATTTTGAACCTTTATGTCCTGCCACAAACAACATGCATTGTCAATAGGATCAAATATAATATACGCTCTTGCATAGAAATTAACACTAAACCGGCTTTCATTTTAAAATTATAAATGACTTGCCTCCACCTCTCCTATATAAACTAAAAATCACAATGTCTAAAATCACAACTCTAACATTTGAGTCGGATAATTGAAAGAGAGTTTGGAAGGGCAAGAATGGCCAAGTCCAGAATCACCAGCTTTGCTCTTATATTTTCTTCTCTTCTAATTATGTTGCTTATTGTTGTAACTCCAACAGGTAAATCTCCAACTGCTTTAATTACAACTTTTACTATAATGTTTATGTTCTTTACTGGAATATTTTAGTGGAACATTGATTATAAAACTCATGATTTGTTCATGTTAAATTGTCAGATGTTATTGGGAGTTTAGGGGTCCTCACCCCCTAATTGTAACTTCTAAGTAATTTATGATTTTGGTCATCCGAAAGTTTTGTAATTCTCAAGTAATTTATGATTTTATTTCCTCCAAAGTTAATGAACATTTAATATATTTACTTTTATATTTACAATTTTATCTCTCGATCCATCCTCAATTTGGTATCTCTCGTATAATTTATGATTTTGTCTCATTCTAATTTAATGATTATTTAATATATTTAAGTATATGTTTACAATTTTATCCTTTTACCCTTTTATCTTCTTTTTTTCTCTTATATTTATTTATTATTTATTAATAATATATTATTTCACCCCACATTCTAATTGTTGAAGATCCGTCTGATCATATACTTCGTGACTGACTGAGGTGTGTGGCTGACGATAATTTTGAAACAAATTTAGGTAAATTTTTAACTGTTGTGATGTTATCCGGTGGCGAGAGAAAGTAAAAGAAGCGTGATTTAACAATGTATATATAAAAATGTGTATAATGATGAAAACCACTGTCTGATATTTGTTTAAATTGAATTTGCAGTTGCAGGTCCAATATGTAACGGCATTCATGGCGTGGAAGAAGGTGAAACTTGCACCAGCATCTTTCAAGGGTTCAAGCTAGACGAGCGCCAGTTCCTTGATATCAATCCTAATATCAACTGTAACCTTATCTTTGTTGGTCAATGGGTGTGCGTGAATGGACGAGTGGTTTGAGTTGCACCATGAATCCAGAGCTTGATTTTATCCAACTCCAAATGAATAAATGCATGAAGAAAATAAGGAGAAAGCTAGCACTTGTTTCATTCTATCATCACAACCCGAGTTGAATGTTTGAATAATTGAATAATGAGTAATTTTATCCTTAGTCTCACCCATGCATCAATCAACGAATATGAATTTTATATAATAATAGTATTTTATGCTACTTAAGATAGTTTTAATTCATCTGTCACAATAAATTTGACATGATGATTTTGTAATTAAAATTTATTTTTTATGATATTTTATATCGATTCAAAATTAATAATTATAATAAATTGATTTTATGTCGATTTAATGATCATTTGTAAATTATAAATTTAGATATTTTTTATATCGATTTAATTATGAGATATTTTTTTATGTTGGTTAAAATTGAATTGTTATAATAAATACTTATTACGATGATTCATAATTAAACTGATATAAAAAATTCTTATTACGATGGTTTAATATAAAAAGTGTTTAAATTTAAATTATTCAATTTCGTTTTATGTTCTTCATTTTTTTTTCCATGAAGAACTCTACTCAACTTTTTTTTGTTTCATTATCTCCTCATCACTTTCATTTATTTTTGTTTTCTTCTTACTTGAACCACCACTTCTTACAATATTATTTCTTCTTCATTTACAACAAAAGTAAAATATTAAAATATTATCTCATTTTTCTATATTAATTTATATTTCTTTATTTTATTTAATAGAGTGATCTAATATGTTATATTGTAATTATTATTATTATGAATTTTTTTTATGAATAACTTTTTTATTTAATTTAAGTGAATATATTTATATTTTATGTTTAATTGTGTTTTCGATACGTAGATAATATTTGTATTTAATTTTTAAAATTTATTGTGTAAAAATAATTTGATAAAATATTTATGAGAAATATGGTTATATAAAAATATATTTAATATAATATTTTTTTATAATTGTTAAGTTAAAAATCCAGATAATAAATATTTATTATATTAATTATTTAATAATTGATAAAAAAGTATTTTTTTTATGTGGCATGGATATATGTAGATTCTACCGACGTCAAAATTCTAAAATAACTAAGAAAGTATTTTTTTCACTCTATTCAAACTTCATATAGATATGAAAACATTAAAATATACAACTGATGTGAACCATCATCATTTTTTTCAATTTTCTTAACTATTAGATGACAAAGAAGTGATCAGGAATGCGATGCTTGTTCAAATAATCACTAATTTTTTTAACATATTCTCTTACTAGAGTTACTAATTGAATTATGGACGGTGATAAACCCACCAACAATTAGAAATATTAATATAATAATAAATATTATTATTATTACACTAGTGCAAAAAATGTTTTTTACGTAAGTATTTTAGGTTTTTTACGTCGTATTTAAGAGTGACATTAAAATGGGGACGTAAATTTACGTCGGACCCTTAGCCTGACGTAAATTCACGTCAATTATGAAGACCCAACATTAATTTAAGTTTCATTTACACTAAATAGACCTAAAAAGTATAAAAAATTAAAAATTTTGGAGTAAATTTACGCCACGTATTGGTACACGCGACATAAATTTACGTCGCGTATACCAATATGCGACATAAATTTGCTCATTTTTTAAAAAAATTTGGGTTTATTTTGTCTTACAACTAAAACACTGCAAATATATATTATAACCAAACGATCCGGAGGTTCGGGTTTCTTTAGCTATGTAATTAAAAAATATAATATTATATATAATTCAAACTACAAAATAAAACAATATGATACAAACAATAACCTACAAACTAAAATATATTACAAACTAAAAGTTAATACAAACTAAAAATTAGTACAAACTAAGTTACCTAAACTACATAATACACACAATATAATATAAAAAATAACCTAAAAAATTAAGTACTAGAATTGTTGAACGAAAAATCTTGCCCATTATTCTTTAATTTGTGTGATATCATATTCTGACAATAGAGATGAATATTAAAATACCTGAAACATTAGTTTGACTTCTGTAAACATGCAACACACATAAAGTTAAATAAATTTAACTAATGTTGAAAGCAATTACCTCCTTCAAAGAATCAGTTATACCCGCACAAACTATGACTCTCATCCAATACATAACATAATAACCACATTCAAATGAATCTGCTTTTCTTATTACACTCGAAATGATGAATAAAATATAATGTTATTTTCAAAATTTAAATACAAACAATAATTATGGTATTCACTTATTATAATAAGTTTCTAACCTTAGGATAAATGAACCGCAAAGTCTTTGTTCTGGGTTTTCCACTTAAAACATTAGTTATAAACACGATTCTAAATGAAAAAAAATCATATATTATTCAATACCTTTTTCCATTTTCACTAGCAAATTTCAAAAATTCATCAACTCCCTTTTCGTACTCTTCACTAATACGATGTGCATTCGTCCAACTTCGATTCATATTATGTTATATAGTTTCGTCACTCCTAGAGATTCAAAATTTATATTTAAAAATAAATTAATATACAAACAACAAAGCACGTAAATGGAGTGTGTAAACCGAAAATGCACTCAATCAAAATAATGACATTCCAATAACAATCCAGTGGAGACATTCATACAATGACATGATTGAGATCCCCAAAAATAATCACGTAAATGGAGTGTGTAAATACGAAAACGATTTCAAACTCGAATCCAATCGGGGAGAAATGTCAAATTCGTAAAATGAGACACAATGTTGATGTTCTTCACTGCCAAAATGATCGAAAATGGTGTGGAAAGGTAGTTGTCATCGTCGTTCTAAAAAACCCTTGTAGCGCAAAATGCGGGAGTGGGTCTGGAAGAGAATAAAAAGAACTTTTTACATCGCACACCCTAGCACGTGACGCAAAAGATGACTTTTTATGTCGCGTGGGGGGGTTCGCGACGTAAAAAGTGATACTTTTTACGTCACATGACTTTTTACGTCGCGCACCCCATGTGACGTAAAAAGTATCACTTTTTACGTACGTCACGTACCCCCCACGTGACGTAAAAAGTATCACCTTTTATGTCGCACACACTCCACGCGACGTAAAAAACCTTTTTTTACGTCGCGCTGTACCAGGTGCGACGTAAAAGAGGTTTTTAACGTCACCTCCTACAATATGCGACGTAAAAGTTTCACCTCTTACTTACAAAATTGTCACAATGTTTTATTTATGTCGAATATTTTGACATACGACAATAATTGGGTGACGTAAAATATCATTTTTGCACTAGTGTTATTACATTTACGTAAGTAATTATAGTTTGGTTGTGAATATATAATGAGATGGTCAATTAAACATTATTCTTGAATTATTCCTAAAATCTTTAAATAACAAAAATACAAGACAAATTTTAATTCATGAATTTTGTTTTTATTTGTAAAAAAAAAAATTCAACTTATTCTAAATATTGAAGATCTATCTTCTCCTTCTCTTTCATTTCCATTCATCTCATTTTTATTTTTTTTATAACATGGTGCAAATGAAAAAAATATATAATACATGTGAAAACGAAACAAAAAATGCGAATTAATTTTTTTTAGTGAAAGTTTTGTTATACAGTCTACCGTTTATCTCTAATTAAATACTAGATCAACTAAGTCACAATTAAAAAAAGAAAGTTATACCGGTTATTTAGTTATAACTATTGGATCAAAAAACTAATACTAAAATAAATAAATAAAAATTAAGCAAGAAAATTATGTTTTTATTAATCTTTAGAAAACTTTACTTAAAGATAAATATTTTATGTAACAAAATTTACATATAATAAACAAATAAAACCCATACCATAATTTAATTAATTATGATGCAAAAGTTTTTCAAATAAAAATAAACACATTCTAAAACTTAAGAATAATATAAGTATGGAATGAACCACATATATATAACGATCACTTGAATTCCAACGTTCAATTTTTTCAGGTACTAATATATTTGAAATTTTTGTCAAATATTGTAAAATACGAAAGCTTGAAAACAGAGGAATGTGAAGATGCTGGAGAGAAGAAAAGACACTTATTAGAATATATTAATTCCCAAAATAAATTGTCACATGTAGGCGACCAATACTAATTATGCAGAACATGAATTAAGTAACATTGATTATATCCATTATAGTTCTATGTTTCTAATACAATTAATGATATAAATTAGAATTGTAAAAAATATAATAATTAAACAAATGCATTTATCATTACCTATTCACGTCTCCATTTTAAAAAATAGAAAAAATCTAAACTCAAAATTGTATTTGATTAATTTAATTTTTCCTATCAACTTTAAAAGATGATTGAGTCGGTTGATCTCCTCCATATATAAATATTTAATTATGATATCTTAATTTAAGTTAATGACTTTATAAATTTTGAGTTTGATATTTTAATTTAAGTTAATAACTCCATAGAAAATAATTTATTAAAGGTGTTATAAAAATATTTGTGAAAAAATAAGAATTGGACTAGATAGAAATAAAATGCGTGTTATAACGTGAGTTTTCGAAATATTTATTCTTATAAACATATATAAACAATAAATTAAAATTACAAATATATTATATAATATAATAATATATCCGTTTGCGCCAATTAAATCTATATCTTTGTGACCAATTGGTATGCGTGAACGGCAAAGTGACTTGAGTTCAGTCAGTAATCCAACAACAAATAGAATATATAATAGTCCAATTCTATAAATATAAAATAAGCAGAAACAAAAAATTCTCCATCTTGCATTATTCAATCACTTCCTATAAATAAGTACGTCCATTGTATCTGTTAAAAGAATACTTTTTTTTTTTTTTTTTTTTTAATTTGGTTCCACTTTCATCAAGGAAAATGTATATGAATAATATTGAATTCTTTTATTACCTTTTATTTAATAAGATGATATTGATTACTTAATAGCAGTAATAGGTAAATGAAGAAAATCCTTAATTAATATATTTTAAAATATTAAACGAAATATCATCTAAAATCTTAATATTAAAATATATATTGTTTACGTGGCACAATAAACATAAGTGAACTTAATTAAATATATAATATAATCATTATTTCATAAAAAAATATAATATTAAAACTTTTAAGAAAATAAATATTTAGTAAATTATTTGAATAAGTACGACATGTCTCTTCTTTAGAAAAACATTTTTCTCAAAAATACTTAAAGATTTTAATCCAATTGTAATAATATATCTCACATGTCATGAAAGTTAATAATGACAAGTGGAAATTCAATTCCTCACGCAATTATATTTGCACCAAATATATTATCATTTAATAATTATATGATTAAATATTTAATTTATTAAAATAAATATTATATATATGGAAGTGACGTAAATAAAAATAATACAACACTAGTATTTAATTATTTGTAGCTGTTACTGAAATGAAGTATTTGTATTGTTTTTTAAGATAAAAAATCCCTAATCAATTAAAAATAAATAGTAATTACATATTTATACTTATGTAAGTAGTAATTCATATTTATTATAAATTTTATTTATTGGTAATTACTATATAAATTTAGTTTTGTAAAAAATAGTAATTACATATTTATACTTATGTAACTTTAAATTATTCTTAAAGTATCTTCCAATCAATATTTCTAAAAGAAAAATACATGTTGAGAACAAGTCTTAATCCATACTAAATAATCCACGATATAAATCAACAAATATGCTACACATCATCTTGTCTTATATTTATTTGGTTAACTTCGTATTATTACCACTTAGAATTTTTGCTCATTTCACTTGATTGGCCACATTTTATGGAGAGGATAAATATTTATTTTTAAGTGTTATATATATCATCTTTTCTTCTAATTATCTATTAAAGACAAAATTATAATAATATTTTCTTTCTTTTTACCATATTATTTTATTTTAATAAATTAAAATTAAATATTTATATTTATATTGATTTTATTTTATTTTAAATTTATATCATTTTATTTTATTTTCTTTATATTATTATATTTGTTGCCAGATATAATTTATATCAAATGGGATATTGTTTTGTTATATTATTTTAATCTATAATTGGATATCTTTGATATATTGTTATAGGTACTTAAGTTTAAGTTTATAATGAGACGTAAGTTTAGGACTTAAAAATTTTCAAAGAAATAATTAATACTTTATTCCATAATTAAAGATTTTTTTCTTTATGTTTTTCAAAAGGAGACAATATTTCTATTAATTAGAAAATCAAAATTTTTTGTAGCTTATTTTTTTAAAAAGATAAAAAAGTTAATACATTAGGCAAAGGAATTATTAATATAGTTAGTGAAAGAAATAAGTTAAAACAAAATACAGTGATGCCAAAAGAAAAGCCAAACGGAGCCGGAGTTGTCATCATCCATGCGAAACGACCATTCTCTTCGTTCTCTCTGGTGAACTCCGAAGTTTCTCTCGATCTGACCCACTAAGCGAAGCTGCAGAGAACTCACTTCCACTTTGAACTCTAACCGCGCTCTCTAACACTCTCTTTGGCTCGTCTCCGTCACTCTCTTCGTCATCGTTTGATCAAACAACGATTCCCTGAACTCAATTTCATTGAGAAAATGTCGGTCGCAAAGAAGTTGATTAAATGTGTTATGCTTGACTTGGACGGCACGCTGCTCAACACAGGTTTGTTGACATTCGTCACAGAACGTTCGTCTTTGCTCACACAATCGAAAGATATAATCGAGAATCTGCATTTTTTTTCTTCCAATTGGGGGTTTATTCTATAACGCTGCGATTGAGAATGATTTGATGCAGATGGCATCGTAGGCAACGTTTTGAAGGTTTTGTTAGGTAAGTATGGAAAGGACTGGGACGGAAGAGAAGGTCAGAAAATAATAGGAACGACACCGTTTGAAGCCGCTGCTGCGGTTGTGCAGGATTATGAACTTCCCTGCTCGACGATTGAATTTCTCTCTGAAATTTCGCCTCTCTTCTCTGACCAGTAATAATCCGTTACATCATTCTTCTTAAGCTTTTTATGTGTTTGGACTGTGCGTAGAGATATATTGTCAATTGGATTTTGAATGTAAAATGTCGTATGCTAAGTACCAACTAACTATCATGATTTAATAATAATGGATCACTGAACTTCTGAGTTAATGCAAATTCATAACCTATTTTGTGAAGGTAGAGTTTAACACGAGATTCACCCCTGGGAATTTATTAATACATAATGTCCTGAAATGAAACAATTAATTTATTGTCTGAAATCTTTGTTCGACTTGGAATATTGAGCTATTTCCAATTTCTGAGGGAATTTTTATCTTAAAATTATGTTCTATTGACATTTTAGGTGGTGCAACATTAAACCACTTCCTGGTGCTAATCGATTGATTAAACATTTGAAGAGTCATGGAGTTCCGATGGCCTTGGCGTCAAACTCTCCAAGGGAAAGCATTGAAGCCAAAATATCCTATCATGATGGTTGGTTTATTTCAGGAACCTTTGGCTTCTTGTGTTGCTTTTGTGTGTTTAATGTAAGTATGGGCTCGTTTGTCCTTTATTTTCTTTGTGTGCAGGATGGAAGAATTCTTTTTCTGTTATAATTGGTGGAGATGAAGTAAGGACAGGGAAACCCTCCCCCGAAATGTGAGATGCAGTGATTTCTTGTCGAACTTTGATTGCTAAGGGTCACCTGATTACTACATTAGAAACATCTCTGTCTTCTAAATCTTTTATATTGTGTGTTATGATGTTAGATTCATTGAAGCTGCTAAGAGGTTAAGCATTGAACCTTCCAGCTGTCTTGTTATTGAAGATTCTGTGTGAGTTCCTTGATTCCTGTCTTTCTCCCAGTATTGATTCTTTCATAAGATAACTGTGTCAGTTCTAAGTCTTCTTTGATGGTTAAACTTTCTGATGGATTGTTATTTGCTTTTATCTCCAATAAATTTAAGAAGAAAAGCTTTTTAAAATTATTGGAGTTCAATTAATTACATTTGTAAAATATTAAGATAACTGCTTTTCGTTTTGGTCTCTTTGTGAAAAAAAAAAAGATTCTAAATATTTTGGGGGAATCTCTAAATATCTTTCCTTCCCTGGAGATTCTGTTTGGGTTTTGTAGCCTAAGGATGGTGTGTAATTTAGATGTAGGGTTTTGAAGTTAATGAATCACCTTTGGCTGAGAATGACTATTATTTTGATTAAGTGAAACACATTTTTTGCATTTGATGATATTGCTGAGTGCTTAACCAGGTGGAGTGTATATGAGTGCATTTAGTTTGCTAAGAAAGGAAGGAGTGGAAACACAAAAGTGCTTGATCTATGATTGATTTTAAAACTGGTCACGGGAAAGCACAAACAAATGATAAAAAAAAAAATATAGGACAATATTCTAAATATTTGTTTCTCAATAAACCCTGGGAATATGAGACAACTTTTTTCCCAGCACTACACTACACTACTCAAAAGTAAAAAAATACCCATCAGTTTGGTCAAACCTCATTAGTGCTAATGGAGAACAACTGACAAGCTTAATTGGACTCATAGCCATTGCAATTCTGTGTGATCCACCTCCAAAATTAGATGGAAACATGGACTAAACAAGAACTTATATTGTAACTCTGCTTCTTGTACCGTGTTGCCTTGCAAGTATGAGAATCTCTCAGCCTCACTTTGGCTCAAGGCGAGGAAAGAGGAGGGTGCCCATTGTCACAGAAAACCATCCCCTCTCTCATTTGGAACGAGTGATGTGTGCAGAAAAACGGTTTTCAAGGCTCATTTATCGAGCCACATCTTTCTGCACAAAAACGAAAAGAAAAACATACAAAGTCACCATAATAGATTATTTTGTTCTAGTTTATTAATGTTTATGTTACATACTCAATTTTGTCATGCTGTAACATAATTGATTATGTAGTAAATATTTTATTAAGTTTATGATAATTTTATTTTAATAATAAATAATAAAAAATATATTATAATGATAAATAAAACTATTAATAACAAATAATTTTATCTCATTCTACGCCCATTAATACTTCTTTCACTTAATTCATACAACTTTATTTTCTACTCATTTTCTCTTTTTCTTTCCTTTTCTACTCTCTCACTTTCCATCGTCCCATCCAAATAAAATAGCAATGTTTTTTTCCTTTTCCAGATGAAATCCCTTTATAGCAGTCCTTTGTGCATCTGTGCTAAGGTTGAATTAGCATGTTCTCTATTATGATTAAAACTTATTTTTTAAGATATCTCCCTGCTTGCCAATTGATTTAGGTCTTGACTTGTTACAACTTTCTAGAACTGTGTCTCCATCCCACAAATCTACCCTTCAATACTTTGAGATGGCCTGGGAATTCGTTATTAATTTTAAGAATTCTTGCACACTCTCAAGTTATTTGTATTTTTGACATGATAGACAAAGTAATCACTGTATAAACTACATTGTAGTTTACCCCTAATTGTCAAGAGTGATTGACACATGTAGTGAATATCATAGAATAGTTTATAATAGCCTAAAATTACTCGTTTATTTCCCACAAGGTTTCTATAAATGTGAATGGTGATTTTTATCCTTGATTTTTTTTCTCTATGCCTTCTGGATACTTCTTTTCCTCCATATATTTCTAAAAGCATCTATACTTGGCTACTTCAGACCTGGGGTTACTGCAGGTAAGACCGCTGAAATGGAAGTAGTGGCTGTACCATCACTTCCAAAACAGTCGCATCTCTACACTGCAGCAGATGAGGTGATCAATTCCCTACTTGATTTGCAACTCGAAAAGTGGGGTCTGCCTCCATTTGAAGATTGTAAACCCGAAATACTTTAAGATAGTCTTTTTTGCACGTTAGTGTTTCTCTTATTTTAACTAGTATTCTAAATTATTGCAGGGGTGGAGGGAACTTTGCCCTTAGATCCTTGGTATATTGGTGGTCCAGTTGTGAAGGGTTTTGGTCGTGGCTCGAAGGTACTTGGGATCCCTACAGGTTTGTACTTCGTTTCAACTGATTTCTTGACCTAAATAATCTGTGGTCTATAATTATCTTAACAGTAATCGGCACACTATTTTCTTCCAGCGAATTTATCAACAAAAGGATATTCAGATCTCCTCTCAGAGCATCCTGCGGGAGTTTATTTTGGTTGGGCTGGATTACCAGCAAGTGGTGTTTTTAAAATGGTGATGAGCATTGGTTGGAATCCATATTTCGACAACAAAGAAAAGACCATAGTAAGTGTGTTATTGTCCAGTGCTAGCTTTAACTATTTAGCAATGAATATGTTCATATTATCGTATGCCTTTTTACTATAGGAACCGTGGTTACTTCATGACTTCAACGAGGATTTCTATGGGGAAGAACTGCGGCTAGTTGTAGTTGGTTACATACGTCCCGAGGTATAGCTGAATCAGTATTTCTCCTACAATTTTTCTCCTTCTCATTCTTGTACTGTCCCCCATATATTTATGAATTTTCACTAAAATTGGGCGTTGTGCATAACAGGCCAATTTTCCATCCCTTGAAAGCTTGGTAGCTAAAATTCATGAAGACCGCAGAGTTGCTGAACGGGCTCTTGATCTTCCCTTATATTCAAGTTTTAAGAACGATTCGTATTTGAGAAGCTCTTAGTAAAATTTTTTTTATCGCAGGGCTTCTTGTCGAAGAAACACCAGGTGCTAATTGATTGTCATAAGCGCATAATCCAGTTTATTGTTGAATGCATAATAAATACTTTAAAAAAACGCATTGTTTGCCTTGTACTATCTAACTTGCCTATTTTGGAGATCTAGATCTTTAATTAAGTTCCTCATATCTTTCATATATGTGAGAATATGTGAGTGGTTGATAAAATGTAAGTATGAGAGAAAACTTACAGCGAAACTTCTCATTAAAAGTGAGAAACACAGAATCACATAAAAAGGTGGAAGATGGTTTTGAATATAAAGAGAAATTCAAACAAGCATGTTGTGTAACAAAACTAACATAATAGAAATAACTAACTAAAGGATGTATATCTCTATCACCTACACAACAAAAACTAACATAAGAGAAATAACTAACTAAATGATGTATATCTGGATCATCCCTTTTAAGGTGGGCATGAAGATTATAAAGATCCAACTTGGAAGTGGTAGTCTAAAAAAGGTAGCGGGATGAAGAGACTTGAAAAACATCAAGGAAATGAATAAGATCATCAGTAAACTTTTGTTTAAAATGATAATTAATCTTTTTTTTATTTGAAGGTTGAATTCTTAATAATCCGAATGATTGAGTTATTATCACAAAAAGTGGAGTAGAGAGTTGGAATGGAAAAATGCAGATCCTGATATTGCCATTGGAGCCTTTGCCTTCACATGTTAATGAAGTCAAGGTGTGATATTCAATCTTAGAAGAAAATCTTTAAAATCTTAAAACAATCTGTTTCTTGGATTTCCAAGTAATTAAAGATATGTCTAAGAACACACAATAACTAGATACAAATAGTCTAGTAGTGACACATGTAGTCCAATTATAGAAAAACTTATATTTTAAGATGAATGTTAGACTTATATAAAAGATTAGAACTAAGGAACATTTTTCTAGTGTCAAATAATTTGAAGGCTTGTTGCATGTGTGCTTTTTAGAAAAAAAAAAACAAATTGACTGAGTTGTAGTACACCATAACTAATATCGACAATGTTTTTAGAACGGATGGAAGATGGGTGATGAGATGGATTGAACCCAAATAATTTGAATTTAATAAAATAATATTTTTATAATATAATAAATATATAATAATAATAATAATAATTAAAATAAAATAAAATAATTATTATGATTATCATAAATTATAATAATAATTATAAATATAATTGAAAGTAAAAAATAAATAATAATTAAAGTAATTTTTTTTATAAAAATTATATTCAAAATTAAAAAAATATCTTAAAAAATTTAATAATTTTTTTTATCAGTTTTAAATAATTTTTATGTTTTATCTATTTAATTATTTAAAAATAATAAATCAATTTTGAGATTAATTCCTGATTTACCAAATCGAACCAAGAGTTCAACGGATTTAAATTCTATCTCCTAGACTAATTCAAACAATCCCACGTTTATTAATAATTTATTAAAATATCTTCCAGGTTAAATTATAACATTTTATATTTCTTTGGTAATAAATTTATACCTTCCATACTGTTATATATATATATATATATATATATATATATATATAATCTTTAATAAATTTATATATTTTTATTTTTATTCTTTAATAATTATTTTTGTTTTTCATATTTTTTTATTTTCTTATTTTTGTCATTTTTAAGTGATGAATTATGGATTAAGTGATAATGTTAAAGGCTGAGTGTAATTAATATATGTTATGTTTTTTTTTAAATTAAGGGGAACTAAAATGATAAGAATTTTGTTGAAGACAAAAAAATCAAATCTTACTCATTGACGTTGTACTTGGTGGATAACTCATTATTTTATTTAATAATGTAATAAACCATGAAAATAACAAAAATACCAAGAATAAAACATAACAAAAAAATTTAAAAATAAGTATATTTTTAATTTTTTAAAATATTATATTTGGATTTTCTCTGTTCAATTTGTAACCCTACATTTGTTAATATTATTAACTTGAATGTTGTGGATATGATTCATAAAGTCTTTCTCTCAATCCTTTACTAATTAATAATAACTTACCTATATAATTAATTGCCCGTATTCCAATAACAACAAATTTATAAGCACATTTATACAAAACAATATATTTAGCCCCTTATCTAATTCAAATATTTTGCCAACTATATGGATTAATATTCCTCGATACATACATGCTCTAACTCTAACATTTTCTAGCCTAAACATCACGTGACATTATTGTTCATTCAACCTAAAAATGTCAAATAAGCTATGTTTGATACTATAGAGATTAATGTTATGTCTATAGTTCCTTTTTCTTATGGTGGATACGTAATATAAATAGATTTATAAAGTTAAAGAAAATCTTGATGGAACTATTAATATTTAAAAGTTTTAATCAACAGCTGAGTAATGATTGTAAAGAAACTTTTCACTTGTTATTAAATCTATTACAATTTTAGAATTAGTGTAACTTTGGATGTTGATTAACGTTGACCATTTAAACAAATACATATTAACAATGACTTTCTTAATGTATTTTTGAATAAGAAGTCTATATGACTCAACGACCAATATTCGAGGTAGAAGACAAGTATCCGGTTTGTTTCCTTCATAAGGAAACTTATGTCCCAAAACAAGCTTCAAAGGTCTGGTTTCACAAACTTAAGTAATCTCTCATTCAGCTCTTGTTCACTATTATGACTTATTAGTCCAAATTGTTTTAGTCAAAAGTCTTGAATAAAAACGTAAAACTCAAAGTCAGAACATTCGATATAGGTTTATGTTGATTGGTTCTCAAAAGTCTTGAGATATAAGAATCAAAGTCATAATAACATTGTATATAAGTATAAGTTGATTGATTCTAGATGTTTAAGGCTTATTTTATAAAATAAAAAATAATTAAGTTTAACCCCTTTTCTACGTAGTGGACTTTGCATGACAAAATACTCTTATACAAATAAAATGTCCTAATTACCCAAAATTGTTTTATAATTAGTTAAGCGTCATGAAAATGTGAATATATGATATGGTAAAGGTGCTTTATACGAGATATATATTGCTTGTCAAAATGTTCAAGCACTGAACCAGTGAACCAGAGATTGATGATTGTACAAGAATCAAGGCAAGCTTTCAAATTATAAGAATTTGCAACTAAACATTATCATTCAAATAGAATCACCAAAGTATTTGTTCTATCTTACCCAAATCTAATAATAAAAAAAATAAAATAAAATGAATGAGGTCAAACTTGTATTCTCTCTTGTAGTTAGTGGTTACAAACTCACCAAATAAGGCTTAATTTATTTTCATAAAACTACTATATAAAGATATGTTATTGAGCTTTTCAATATGCTACTATTACATATATTAATTAGAATTAGTTTATTTTATTAATAAGGATTGCTAATTTATGGCTCAACCATTAAAACAACACTGGCCTATCGATAAATATATTCTTTAGTAAAATAAAATAAAAAACACAAAAAAGAGAAGAGTAAATCATAAAAGAAAAATAATAAATACAAACAAATCAAATTTTAGCATTTGATTAGAAATTAATATATATAAATGGAAAATAACCTTCTCATAGTCAAATATTAGAATGAATTATAAGTGATAAAATATATCAAATATACTAATTCACCATCAATTTTGTAAATTGAGTTGATAGTCTCAATCCATTTTGTTTCTCTTGATCTATTTTTTTCTTTTTTAAGTTACAATTAATTTATAAAATTTCAAATAAAATATATTATACTTTAAAGAATTATAATTTTTCGTTTCGTTTGGATGATGTAAATATTTATAAGTTAACTTTAATTATTAAATATAATTTAGTAATTTAATATATAAAAATAATAAAATTTCAATTTATTTAAGAAATAATATTAGTTTATCAATAAAGATTTAGGAAATATTAACAAATTAAACTCGTTTTTTTTGCAAATATTAAGCTCTGTTTATTTTGAAGACCGAGTCGAGAAGACGAGAAATATAATCAAAGTTGTACTTTCAAGATATAACACATAATGTATTATTATTTTTTTTAAGATTTATTCTTTCCTCTCTCCTAAATGAAGAAAAATAGAAAGAAATATTTTTTTACATAATTAATTATATTATAAATAAAAATATTTTAAATAATAATAATAACAATAATAAATAATTAAAAAAAATTATTAAAATAAAAAGTATTTATTTATTTGTTATTATTTTATCTTTCTTCTCAATTATGCTTTCCATTCAAACGATCAATATTTTTCTTTACATACATCTATGTAATAAAATTGACGAAAACCTTTGGTAGAATTATAAAAATAATTTAATTTCACAAATAATTAGAAATAAAAATATCTTTTATCAATTTTAATAAAATAATTATTTTTTTCTTTAATTTTTTAAAAATAATTTTTTAAGAATATTTTCAAATAAAATAAGTTCTTAATAAAAAATATTTAAAAATAAAATTAAATATTTTATTATAAATATATATAAGTTACTTAAAATTTGAGTAAAATTATTATATAGGTAATTTTTTAAAATTTTTAAATATATCTGACATTTATAATAAAATATTTATTTTTATTTTTAAAGATGATATAAATTGGTCTGTTTATATTTATATTCAGTGAGAAAAATAATGTTGGACAATTTTATTATTAAAAAATAAAAAATTGGGAGCGTGACGTGAGGGAGTGAGTTTTGGCGCTTATAGTTAAGAGCTTGAAGCAGCTCCGGTTGCAGCAGAAGCAGAGTGGTTGCGAGTAGTAGCGATGGGAGAAGAAGAGGTGCTTCAATCCGAATCCAATGTAGCCAGCACCAACGAAGAGTACACTTTCCCCACGCTACGCTTCGATGTCTCTCCTCACAGAACCTACCATTTCCACCGTCAGTTCATCACTCCCTCCAACCCTAACAATTTCCACAAGGCCGTTAAATGGTACGCTGCACCATCTCTCATTCTCACTCTTCTTTATCTTCCATAACCTCTTTCAATTCCTAATTCAACTTCTGCTTCTCTCTTAGGTCACCCGACGGTTCCTGCTTCCTCACCTCTTCCGACGACAACACTCTCCGCATCTTCGCGCCGTAAGCCTTCTCTTCACAACCTCTATTCCGATCTCGCTATATCTAATTCTGTTATTCCGTACAACTAATTCACTTCGCTTTGCTCTTCGCAGACCGGGAACTGAAAGCGACTCTCCCGTTGCTGCTTCCAACGACGGTAACCGCGCCGTTTCGAACAATTGAACTCGATTAACTGCGATATTAAATTCGAGTGTTCATTGTTTGTTGTTCTCCGCAGATTCCTTTACTGCAAACGTAGTCATGCATGAAGGAGAGTCTATACACGATTTCTGTTGGTATCCTTACATGACTTCCTCTGGTAAGAAAATATTTTATTTTCTATGCGTCATAATAGCTGATAGTGATGATGTCTATTGGTCTATGGTATTGGATATTTGCAGATCTTGTGACCAATGTTTTTGCGACTACTACACGCGACCATCCAATTCATTTATGGGATGCCACCTCTGGCCAGGTACCTTTTATGTTACTCATTTCTGTTTTGTGCTTAAGGTCTTTGACATGGAAAAATCCATAAAACAATCAACATCAGCCATTGAATGATTTGCCCTAGTATCGAAGTTAAAATGGGAATGGAATATTAAGGTGACAGATAAATGTAGTACATAGGGATATAGCTTTTCTTGAAGTGTAAAGGTTTTTAATAAATGGTCACGGTAACAATGTCAAGATTTTGTCACGGTAACAGATAATATTATTGACAGCTTGTAGATACATTATGGCTGTTGTGCTGCTATGTTGGTTTCTGATCGTTGCTTTTGGTGAAACTTGCAGTTACGTTGCACATATCGCGCATATGATGCAATGGATGAAATTACAGCTGCTTTTTCAATTGCTTTTAATCCTGCAGGGACTAAGTAAGCTATTTGTTTTCTTTCAAGGACCAATAATTTGCAAAATTGTAGATGCACAACACAATGTTTCTATGATAATTCATATTTCATGCTCACAAGTCCCACAATTTTTCCTCATCAAGCTTTCATAAACTTTCTCTACGACATTTAGGCTTCCATATGCTTCTAATCCTTATAAATATGGCTTAATTTGTTCACAGTCTTCCAATTTTTTTGTTGGAAATAAATTTGAAAAATGGTCTCTGCCAGACTGTCACCATTTAGTGATGACGTAGTCATGTTACATTAATATCCATTCTAAGGTGACCTGTGTACTTATTATGCTTAGTGTATGCTACACTATAAATATGTGGTGATAGGGAACAAAAACTTTATAGGACCAAAACTAAATAAACAATGGTTTGGAGCATGAAAAGCAAATTTAACTATATATACAATCACTAAAACATATTTTACCAGGACATTTAAATATACTTACATCCCTTGGGTTACTATGTTCAAACTACTATTGGCAAATAATTTTACCTTACCTAAGTAAGTTCACACTATTAAAAATTTTAGAAGATATGTCATGCTCAGGGGCAGTTTTGGGGATTGCTATCTGATTGACAATCTGGATCAACATTATATTCTTCTTTGTTTTTCAAAATGTGGTATGATTTTTGGTTTACTTTATTTGGATTGATGAGTGTGTTTGTGAAAGTTTTTAAAACTATTTGCCTTGTCTTGTAGGATATTTGCTGGATACAACAAATGTATCAGGATGTTTGATTTACACCGCCCTGGTAGAGATTTTGAATTGTATTCCACAGTGAAAGATAAAAAAGAAGGCCAAACAGGTAAATTTCAAATCAGGGCTGCTGAAGCTTTTTGTTTATTTCTTTTTTTTGACTGGAAGTTAGGGGTGGCAGCAGCAATGACATCTATAAATAAAATGTCTGGGAAAATTCTCTGGTACAAACAGATGCATATAATTCAGGTTATATGAATGCAGGTATTATATCTGCAATGGCTTTTTCTCCATTTCATTCTGGGATGCTAGCTTTGGGTTCTTACAATCAAACTGCTGCTATTTATAGGGAGGACAACATGGAACTCTTGTACCTTTTGCACGGTCATGAAGGTGGAATTACACATGTAAGTTGGGGTTACCTGCAAATATTGATTCTCATTATAAAGAAATCCTAAATTTTTCTCTTCTTCAGGTCCAGTTTTCGAAAGATGGAAATTATTTGTATACTGGAGGTCGGAAGGTAAGATTTGCACATTTTCTTCTCTAGGATGGACTGGTCTACGGGTCTTATTCTTGTTACCCAGTTGATTGTTACTTAAAGTTCAGTTTCTAACATTAATTGTTTCTTGAAGGACCCGTATATACTCTGCTGGGATGTGCGCAAGTCTGTGGATTGTGTTTACAAGTACTATTCTATCTCTTCCTTTGACTGTGGTTTATCTATGAATATTTTGTATGAATTGAAGAAAATTATTATGAATACGATGTTTGGGAACTTAAGTTATAGAAAATGATTTTTTTTTTACCAAGAGCTCCCTTAGGAAACTACAAAACGAAACTAATTTTCCCAAACAAGATAATCCTAACGTGCATTTAATATGAAGTATTCTTTATGATAAACAAAAATGATTCAAAGTTGTGATTCAAGAGAATAATGGGAGTAAAACCTAGTGTATACTACAGTATTGCCCTCAAAAAGAAGTGGTTGAGTTCCTCATCAAAATTTTCGGACTTTTTTTTTTTCATTTTTTAAGAACCAGAGGGAATGCATAGTAATTTGCCTTGCAAACTGAATACTTTGGATATTCAAGTAGAACTTATAAATTCCAAAGCTAAATTCCCACTAACTAACTGCTGATGTGTGCACTACATAGTCAATCCAAATATCCTTTTTTTTTTTTTGCGTGGTTAAGTTACTGCTTGCTACGATGTGTTTTTGTATATTTCCGTTATTATTTATTCCATAAGTATACATGATCGGAACTGAGTGGATGCATCTTTGCACCATGTTACTAGGTTATACAGATCATCAGAAAATACCAATCAGCGGATACTGTTTGATATTGACCCTTCTGGACAGCATCTTGGTACAGGTGGCCAGGTATCTTGAGCATTCCTATTATCTTGCAATATCAATGATCGTCAATCAATATTTAGTTTGTTTTAAAATGGTTGTTTTTTTGGTTTTAGGATGGTTTCGTACACATATATAATCTTCAAACTGGGCAGTGGGTTTCATGCTTCGAGGCTGCTTTAGGTACTCAAGTTCTGTATTTGATGCTTGTGTTTTCAATCTTGGTTTTGTATCTCATTTTTTCATGCCCATTTGTCTTACTATTACTGTCTCAAGTATTTTGCCTTTCCAGAACAACCTCTACTATACATTTATTCTCAGTTTGTGTTGCTTTAGTACTTCAAGTTATTTCTCACTTTATTCACCCTCTTACTATCTCTTGAAGGCCATGTTTAAACTATGTAACTTTTGGGAGTGCTGCAATTATATCTTTTGAGACCATCCCAATTGCCTATTCATTTTGTTTCAACTTTTAGCTTATCTACCACTTTGATAATATCCTTATTTTTTAGTTTTACTCAGGTTGCCTCTAGTTCACCTGCCAAATTCCATTTTTCCCCATGTTATGCTTGTGTTCTTATCCTCATCCTCATGTTTTTGACAAACTTAGTTATATATCGATCAAACTATTGATGACATTCTAGCAGTAAAATAATTTTTTTGTTCAAAGAGATGGTGATGGTGCTTGCTTTATCTGCTTGTGTTCTTAGTAATCAACTGGCTGGTGATGGTAATATGCTATTACGAGTTAGTAATCAGCAGGTGGCTGTAAATTATGTGTGCACGTTTCATTTTGTTACTGCAATAAGCTTTATTTTACTGTTTGTTGTGCAGACACAGTTAATGGTTTCTCATTTCATCCATTTCTACCCCATGCCGTCTCATCCTCAGGCCACCGAAGATTTGTGATTCCAGATGATGGCAATGAAGAATTGTGCTTGAGTGGTATTGCTATTATATTATGGACATGAAGGGTTTTCCATTTCTTTTATTTCATCGTTGGTCAGGTTTATTATTGGCAAGGTTTTACAGAACATAATATTATGTTATCTATGAAACTATAATTTCAGGAAATTACGAAAACATTATATATTCTGTGCTACTTAAGATAGTTTCACTAATTTTACTATTCTCCATTGATAACTTTAATCGTGTTTAATATAAATATAGGTCGTGAAAATTGCGTCTCAGTATGGACATTCTGTTGTGATTCAATGGAGATTGACTTGAAGAGCAATGGCAGTTTCAACCATCAGTCTGAAAGTAGTTACATGGACTGAAATTCGTTAATGTTTTGCGGCCACCTTGTACCGATCAGGTAAAACAAGTTTGATTTGTAAGGCTTGTTGCCAATGATCATAATGGTTCACTGTTTAACTGTTCCTTGTTTGACCAAAAAAAAAAAGAGCAAAGTTTTGCATATATACCTTATACGTGTAAAATTGTATTTTTCTAATTGAAGCAAGGGTTTGAACTTATTTGGTTGTTATTTTGTTGGTGAGATATATGCTACTGTTGTGAGCAATGATCATAATGGTTCACTGTTTAACTGTTCCTTGTTACACAAAAAAAAATTGAGCAAAGTTTTGCATATAATATACCTAATTGAAGCAAGGATTTGGACTTATTTGGTTGTTATTTTGTTGGTGAGATATTTGCTACTGTTTTTTACTTGCTAGTGAAGTTTCAGTCCTCTCTCTGGCCGGCAATACTTTTCTTCCCTTTTTGAGAATCGTTCTTTCTTTTAACAGTCACGTGAAAAGCCGTCTTCTATACTTGGGATTTGAGGTGGTCTTTGATTATTATAAACCACAACAAAGAAACACAGGTGGACTTAGACAAAAGAAACACTGATTGTCTTGTCTAGATGGACATGGACGTGAAAGTATTTTTGAGCGCCCTCTCATGAATAACCAGGACCGCTTTAAGAGCATCTCACTGCAATTAGTGTTTTGGTAATAGACTCGGAAACATAAAAAAAAAAAGTGGCAAAAGTAATTAATCCGGCATCTAGCCTTTTATGTATGGTAATATTTTATGCTGCAAAAGGCACCTATACTCTAGGTCACTTTCTAGTTTCCAAGGTCGGTGGAATCTGGAGGAAAGATTATCATGATTCATGATGGTCAGTTGTTCTAACTCAACGGAGTCAGTTGACTCTAGAATATTGCAATCACTATTAAACAGGATATGAAATGTTCTTCTGGGAAATCACCAGAGTGTCGCAGTTCTCATGTCTAACCATTCCTTTCTTAAATTCATATTATTATATTTTATTTTTACTTGCAGAAATGCAATTGCAAATCCGTCTCTCTGTCAGTAATTTTTTTATATTTTATTTTAATAAATTAAAATGTTATATATTAAATTTAAAATATAAACATTTATTCTTAAAATTATGCATTGGAGACAAATAAATGTGGGAAGGAGTTTTAAGAAGAGAAAAAAAGAGAGAAAAGGGAATAAAAAGAAAATGATTATTATTATTATTATTATTATTATTATTATTATTATTTCATACTTTATATTGAATAGAAAAATAAAAAGAAATAAGTGATCAAGGAGGGAAGGAATGAAAAACTGATAATTTTTAATTAATTTTATTTTTATTGAATAAAACACTTGATTGAAAACTAAAGAAGAAAAAGATATTAAATAACATTGAAAAATGACCATAAACATAATTCCTTTTATAGACATGCTTATGTTAAATCATAAAAGTGCCTTGAAATAGATGTTAAATGTAAATACTAAAAATTTGATAAATTTGTCAAATACTTAAAAAAATAAAATATTTTTTCTATAAATTTAAATTATTTTATATATAAATTAAGGTAATAATTTCAAAAAATTATATTTATAAATTAGTTTAGGCATAATTTAATTTTAGAATAAGGATTTTTTTTTCTTTTTTTAGAAAAACTTATAAAAAAAATTAAATGTTAGTAAAAGGAAAATGTTGAATTATTTATTCTATTTTTTAAAATAATAATAAATATAAAAATTTAAATTATTATTATATTAATGAAAATTATTGTTGATAAATTATTTGTTTAATAATAATTTTCAATATATAATTTTTCTAAAATAAAATTCTGTGCATAGGATGAAGCTAAAATCATTTAAGTAGAGTGGTCGGAATTAAAAATAATCTCAAATCTTTTTAGTTTCTACTAATTTTTTCTTTAATCTTAACTTTTATATAATTTTTAATTCTCTACAGACCCTACTTAGTTCTTAAAGACTAAACATAGATAAATTTTAAATAAAGAGTAATTAAATAAATATAATATTTTAGAAGTCAATAGATATTTTGAACATCCTATTAAATAAACAGACAAATAAGAAGAAAATAAAATTAATTTTATTTTAAATTAAAATGAAATTATACAATAGTTGATATAAACTCTTTTAAAATACTTTATTTAAATACTAATTTTCAATTCATGAATAAGTTAATTTAAATTTTGGAAAGATTTTTTTTCTTATTTTTCATCCTTTCAAATATTTATCATTTTTTTCTCTGACAAACCTACATAAATATTTTATCAATATTAATAAATTGCGACTTGTACGAGATAACAACAAATAGAACACTATCTTAACTAGTTCTACAAATACACTATTATCTATCTAGTCTTTTATACAAAGATAAATCATCACTCCTTCTAGGATGCCTTGGAATGATTGCAAGTTTTTGTCTTTTATCTTCAAATTTAGTTTGAAAATAAAAATAAAAGTAAAAAGTGTTTGATTAAAATTATTTTTAACTTTAAGAGACTTTTACCTTCATTTATAAATTAAAAAAAAACTGTGAAAATTACTTACTTTTATATATATATATATATATATATATATATATATATATATATATATAAATAATTAGAATCAAAATATATTTTATTTTTTAATAAATTAATACTTTTTTTAAAACATTAATTTTTATAGATTAAAGGAGCATAAATTGGATTATACCTTTTTAAAAGTAAATATAGAAAAATAATCTCTAACCCATCTAATGCGAGAACTGGTTTTTTAATTTTAAAGAAAAGTTGTCATCTCTTATAATTTTATGAGCAATCTTTTAAAATAAATAATTGAAAAAAATCTCCCTTCAAAGGCCAATGATATTCTCAAACAATTTTATTTGTTTTATATATTAGCATAACTCTGCTTTAAAATATTTAATATGTACAAACATGATCATGAATTTTTTTTTATTCAAAATTAAAAATAGATACTATTTGTATCTGTGGACATAACTCTAAAATGTTTTATTTATTTAATATATACAAAAAATTCATTTTTATCATTTCAAAATTAGAAATAAAAATTATATATCTTTCAATAAAATTGATAATTTATATTAATTTTTAAAAAATAATTATCTTACTCAAAATTAGTGTAACTATATAATTATTTTTCTATTTATTATTGAAAAGATTTGTAAAAGTTTCCACTAATAATTTTTTTATATAATAGTTAAATAACAAAATCAATCAAATAATAAGTTAATTAAAGGCAAAAAAGTTAGTAAATTGATTATAATAAAATATTTATAAATAAATTACATATATAAAAATAGATATATTACTCTTTATTATTAGGCAAAAAAATTAATTATTAGTAATTTTGATAAATAGTAAAATAAAAAATTAATTAATTAAACAATCAATTAAATAAAATCATATAAGTTAATTATCATAAAATATATTAAAATTACTGTATATATTATCATATTTTAAAATGTGAGATAATTCTATCTTAATGATTTAGATTTGATATAACTCTAAATGAATATAATTTGATCTTTATTTTTTTTATCATATATATCAATATAATTATATATATATATATATATATATATATATATATATATATATATATTATCAACTAAATTGAATTGAACACCATTTTGAAAAAAATTCCCATCTGGTAAAATATTTTATTTCAATCAAATTTTTGAATTCATTTATGATGGTTAGGAACAAATTAGAACTTTTTCTAATCGATTTTAGATGTATAATACCAATTAAAAAATATTTTTATATATATATATATATTTATTGGTTTACAATAATAAATAATTATATCAATTAAAAAAAATCAAAAGCTTTAATTTTTTATTATAAAAAATATTTTTATTATACAGTAAAAATTGAAAAAAAAAATGATATAATCAGCACATTTGAAAATATTAAGATTTTGTTTTCTTCTAATCACACTGTATCTTTTCATTTTGAAGCCTTTGTATGTATGACGTTCTCAAACAATTTTTTTTTTTTCACCAAAAAAAGAGAGATCAACCTATTAGTAAATATGCATGAAAAAAAATGTGATTAAAAAGAGTGTTTGCCTTACCTGTTGGTAATCTTTGCTAATAATTATTTATTGTACCAAGCAACAACTAACATCGTGCGTTGTGTATATCAATCGGATTCTATGGTTTTGACCAAACAAAGATCATGGTTGAGAAAACTCCAAAAAGTGAAAGACCAAAATAGCCCTGACATTAATATTAAACATGTTGCTATGTTGTTCTTTGCCCAATTCATATGATTTTGATAACGAAGATACAATAGTTGAAAAAACTAGAAGAAAAAAAAAAAAAAAAAAAACTTGCGCTGGCTGAGTTAACAAAACAACAATAGCCGCCAACAACCTAATAAACTCAGTGGAGACGGAGAGGTTGTTTTTCAGTGGGTCCCACTCCCCTCCATTCGGTTACCCACTTTTCACCGTGGATTAAGCCATCAAAGCGTGTTTTCACAAGCTGTGATCCACTGCAGTGACGGTCTACATACGCGTTTACTTAAGTATAAGGAACATCTTCCATAAGCTACCGACAAAGCCGACCAAGCACCACGTCACCGCCCACTTATCTCCCATGTTCTGTAATGTTTCCACGTGTTCTTTTGCAACGGCTAGTTTTTTCTCTCCACTCTATTTTTAACCGCCATAGTGCAGAGAGAGAGAGAAAAGTAACTCCTGTATTTCCCTCGAAGTTTCCCGTAATTTCCTCACGCGCTGTTTACTGTTAAATGTTAATAGCCAATAGAAAACAGAGAGAGAATAATAATTTTTTTTTTAAGTTTGTAGGTTTATATATAAACGGTCTATACCACTGATTGTCCCCAAATTCTTAAACAGAAGGGTGGGTAGTTGAGTTTATAACCAATTTCAATTTCCATTTCAATTTCAGTATCTGTTTTACTCGTTTGGCCTCAACAGCAAATAGCAACTCTCTTGTAAAACTAGGTGAGTTATTGTCTCATCTGTTTCTTTTCTTCTGCCTATTTTATTTTTGTATCCTCACGAGTTTTTTTGTTTGAATTGAACTGTATAGCGCTACCTTTGCGAGTAAATAATAATTTTTGTTTGGGTTTTGCAGATTAGATTCTCTTAATTTTTAGTGTGTTTGGTTCTCTGGCGAAGTTGAATATGGCTTTAGGGTTTGAGGGTTATAGTTATACAACAGCCCTTGGAAGGAAGAGGGTTGTTTTATTACATAATAAGGAAGGTTCTTCTCCCTTGAAGAGAATGTGCAGCGAGAAAATTACTATCGATTCTGAAAGGTCTCCCCTTGAGGCCCTTCCTTTTGATATTCTGGTGAGTATTTTCAATTTCAAAGTTTATATTTTTTACCCTCCCTGACTTTTCATGTATAACTCGGCAATGTGTATGCTGACATCTGGGTTTTTTCTGTTTGTTTGGATTAATTGTAGCTAAAGGTGTTATGTGGTGTTGATCATGAGGATTTGGAGCAACTTGTTCGTGTCTCAAAAACTATTAGAGAAGCAGTAAGTTTTGGAGTAATATTATTCAACGTGGTTCATTTGTGATTCAGATTCTATTTTTTGGTTTTGTAATTTATGGAATTTTGGGTTTTGCTTTTGCAGACTGTTATTGCTAAGAAGACGAATTTTGAGTACAAGACTCCAAAGAAGAAAACTTTTGCTATTCCTAGACCGTTTGGTTTAGAGGGTGGTAGTGAGTTTGAGGAAATTGAAGCTCCTAGTGCTCCATTGAGGAAACCAAAGTCAAAGCTGATTGGTAAGAATCTGGGTAGCATCACGATGGCATTGTTTGCTTCCCCTGAGGAATAACACCACCAGTGAGTGAGCCAAGGAAAAGGAGCAACTAACTGAGTGTTTCTCTCGCTTTGAATAGTTATGTAAATAGTAAGTAGTGTTGTTATCGTAGTAAGACTCGATACATACTTAGAAGAATTCACTAACTGATTTTACTGGTTTAGAAATCATCTTTACAAGTCATATCTTCCAATCCTTCATTGAAGATTGCTTTGACTTGTTTGCAATCTTTATGTACATTCACAGGCTAGTAGGAAGTGCTAGACATTCTAGTCATTGTTTGGAGGGAAATCCTAGGTCCTTCTGTATGATAAATTTAACTGTTCTCAAGTTGTTTGGGCATAGTCTTTTGTGCTTCTCTAATAAAATGAGTAAAGGTTCCACTTTGACTATTAAATTTGTTGTTTTACTCTGCTTTACTTTTGACAAGAGAGGTTCATTCTGCTTTGACGGCCTTTCATATAATAAATATTCATAAACTGTTCATAAATGTGGGGTATATTTCTCTTTTTGACAGAGAAAATGGTTATTAGTAGCTAATATATCCCCACTAGTTATCATTAAGTGGGGGGAAGCAATATACATATCAACATCCATCATGGTCCACCAAAATTAGAGGGAAATTTCGTTTGAGATATTTGCTTGACTCGGTTTGAACATCTGTTGTACTAAAAGCCACACAACTACGGTGTCCTTGGTATCAGAAACAATGAAAATACTTCCATTCTTTGGTCCAAGATTGACCCTGAATAATCTCTGAAAAATTTATCTAATTTCCAACTCATCAAAGTGGATTTCCTCGTTTGACTCTGAAAAGAGAATCTGAGGCCTCTTTTGTTCACCTAAATGATGTCAGAAACTTGTAAATTAACTATCTGACTATCGGTAGTTTCCCATTATGCAAGTAAATTGATAACTTAATGGTAAGGATATGTTTATTTTTCAAAAGGAAAGAGGGAAAGGAAAAATTATAATTACATGAAAACCATTTCATTGAGTTTAAGGGGGAGTCAAATTGTTTAAAAGCCAACCAAATATTAACTTTTCAGGTTCAATTTTTATACACCTGTATTAATCAAACCTTGAAATAATAACCACTGAATCAATGGGCAAGGTTCACAAATGAATCATGTTTCACCATGCAATTCTTTTTACCATGGAGGCTTCTCTCCTTTTACTTCATTGATTGTTTTTAATTCTGTGTTGTCTTGTATGCCCACCTATCCATCAGAACATTCTTATTATAGTCTAGTTAGTAGTCACATCTAGTCATCTGCTAACTTTATCATTCAATAAATAAAGATAAAACAATTAATCTTAATGAATACTTTTTTATCACCCATTAGAAAAGTTTATGAATTAATTTTTTGTGAATAACTTATGATAATTATTTAATCAATGATTAAAACAGAATTAGTGAAATGGAATTTTTTAATATTTTTTATATAAATTTTTTATTTTTTTAAATATGTTTTTAATTATATGTATAATTTTTAAATTCTTATTTATTAATTAATTTTTATTAAATAAATCAAATATATATATAATAAATTAATTATAATTAATAATTTAAATTTAATTACTTAATATTTATAATTTAAATTATAATATTATAATATATTTATATTTTCTAATAATGTAATATAAAAAATAAAATATTTTTAATTATAAATTTTTTAAAATGAATTAATTCATTCCGTTTCATATCTAGGATTAGATAGAATAAGAGACTAAAATTATTAATTTTTCCTATAGTATTTAAAGTGAATTAATCATTCGGTCTATTAAACCTAATTTATTTAATTATATACAAAATAATCATATTTTTAATAAAAATTAGATAATAAAATAAAATATAATGATAATATATTATTATTAAAATAAATAATAACGATAAGTAAGGTTTTGTGACAGAAAAATAAATTATAGTAACTATTGTCAATTATAAAATAAGAAAGTGTATTGATATTGATATCTAAGTTTTATTAATTGTATATATCAACCTTCACAATTTAAAACTAAAACTAAGGATAGAATAACGTAAATCATGAGTTTGACAATATATATATATATATATATATATATATATATATATATATATATATATATATAATTACAAATTTCAAAGGTTGAAAGAATGAAATAAAAAAATAACAAAACAAAACAAGGTGGTAGTTAATATTGATTGCTATAAAATGGTAATAATTGTTATAAGTAGTTCTTCTACTAATTTGGTGGTTGTATATTATAACTGTATCATCTCATTGTAGATATGATAAATAAATTAATAAATTTTAAAATTTGTAATTATATATATATATATATATATATTATAAGACAAACAAAAAATAAATATCTAAGCAATATAAATATTTAATTACTTATACATTAATAAAAAAAATCAGCTTAATTTTTATATCACCTAGTCCCATATAAGTACACAATTAATTACATCAATATATAAATAGAATAAATTTATTAATAAAAATTATTTCATATGCATAATTATTCATCATACTATCTTACCAAATGTCTGTATATATAATATGCTTATTAAAGTCACTAATAAATATATATGAATAATTATTGACTTCTAAAATATATAATTATTTATCACATGATGTTTATCTAAATGATTAAAAATAATTGTGAATTATTAATGATTTCTAAAATACTAAAAACTAAGACATTTATATTTGTATTATTATGATTTTTTTAAGAATATAACACAAAAGTATATATATATATATATAATATGCATTGATAATTTCACCTTTTGTGCATTGATAAATTCACCTTGTATTCTTGAATCCAAATCACAACCAACACTGATGGCCAGCATCACATCATTTTGGTTTCTTCTCCTCTCATCTTTAACCTTTCTGTTTTCTGCAACTTCGGATTCACCACCCTTTGAAAACTTCCTCCATTGTCTTTCAAACTATTCTAGCTCTTCAATATCAAAGGCCATTTACACCCAAAACCACCCTTCATTCTTGTCTATCTTGCACATGCACACGCACAATCACAGATTTTCTGCAGCAACAGCACCGAAACCTTTGGCCATTGTGACTGCTCTGGATGAGTCTCATGTGCAAGGCACTGTTGTATGTGCCAAGAGTAATGGACTTCAGATTAGGATCCGAAGTGGTGGCCATGACTGTGAAGGCCTTTCATATGTATCAGACGTGCCCTTTATTATTCTTGACATGTTCCCTTTTGGATCAGTTGATGTGGATATTGCAGATGGGACAGCATGGGTTCAAGCTGGTGCAACACTTGGTCAGGTTTACTACCACGTTGCTGAGAAAAGTAGGGTTCATGCTTTCCCTGCTGGGGTGTGCCCCACTGTGGGTGCTGGTGGCCACTTCTCTGGTGGGGGCTATGGAAATCTCATGAGAAAGTATGGTCTTTCTGTGGATAATATCGTTGATGCAAAACTGGTTGATGTCAATGCTAATATACTTGACAGAAAGTCAATGGGGGAGGATCAGTTTTGGGCTATAAGAGGAGGTGGTGGGGGTAGTTTTGGTGTCATTCTTTCATGGAAGATCAAGTTGGTTTTTGTGACCCCAAAAGTGACTGTTTTCAAAGTGAGAAGAACCTTGGAAGATGGTGCAAGGGATCTTGTTTACAAATGGCAATTGATTGCGACAAAATTTCCTGAAGAGCTTTTCATAAGAGTGATGCATGATGTCATCATGTATGACACTCAAAAGGCCAAGAAGACCATACAGGTTACTTTCATTGGTTTATTCTTGGGAAAAAGTGATAATATGTTGAGTTTGGTGGATGAGAGTTTCCCTGAATTGGGTTTGAAGAAAAGTGACTGCATTGAAATGCCATGGATCAATTCCACCCTTTACTGGTATAATTACCCAATTGGGACCCCAATTGAGGCTTTGCTTGATGTGCCCAAAGAGCCCCTTACACGAAGTTTCAAAACCATGTCAGACTATGTGAAGAGGCCCATTCCAAAGAGTGGTCTTAAATCCATGTGGGACTTTATGATTAAAAGTGAGAGTGTGAGGATGGAATGGAACCCATATGGTGGGAAGATGCATGAGATTTCAGCATCAGAAACTCCATTCCCACACAGAGCCGGGATCTTGTTCTTGATCGAGTACTTGACATCTTGGGGGCAAGATGGAGTTGAGGCAGCTGGTGATTACTTGAACATTTCAAGGTCATTCTATGAATTTATGAGGCCATATGTTTCACACTCGCCAAGGGAGGCATTTCTCAATTATAGGGACCTTGATATAGGTTCCAATCATCCAAGTAATGTAACAAAGATGGACATTGCTCGAAGATTTGGGAGCAAGTATTTCAAAAATAATTTTGAAAGATTAGTGAGAGTGAAATCCAGGGTTGATCCCCATAATTTCTTCAGACATGAGCAGAGTATACCTCCTCTCTCCCATTAGGTGGAAAATCATGCTTAAAGTATTCCTCTCTATGAAAAATATTTCATCTACACACGCAAAATGTTTATATATATTTAAAGAGAGATAGAATAAAAAGGAAAAGTGGTAGATTTATAGCAGATATGATTGGAAGTGTAGAGAAGTAAAAAAAAAAGTTTAATAAATATATATTAGAAAAAGGTGATGTATATTGTTATTTGATTTTCGTATATTATAATAAAATTTATTTAATTTATTATTTTATTCTTGCTTAAAATAAAGTTATATTATTTTTAAGGATTTAATGTAATTTATTTTGCATTTGAAACATTTATACTCATTTACTAATCTCTTAAATTATATATTATTTTTGATAATTTATTATTTTTCATTTATGAGCATTTAAATTCAAATTTTAGTATTTTTCTTCTTCTTATTATTAATATTATTATTTTTAATTCAATTATTAAATATAGTTTTCATCACCATATTCAAGTACTTGTATTTATCTTCCTTCATGAACAAATACATGTATTGATAGTTCTAATCAAATATATTTAATAGAGTAAATTATAATGACATCTTCTTTTGTATTTATGAATACTGTAC